AAACCCCTCCATGGTATGAAAGTACAAAGTCCAGATAATGAGAACATGACAACGTGTATGATTTGATGGTTGTTTAGATTGCAGCTAGAACTGCCCATAACTCAACTACTTCCAAGGTCAACCAATACAAGTGAGCTCAAGCAGCACGGCACTTTGGAGGCTGTATAAAACAAATATGTTTTGCTGTGTTTAATCAATGTCAATCAATGCCATTATTCCTATAAACTGAGGTGTGTCTTACGGGTCGAGTAAGGAGGAGTGGTGAATCTGATTGGGTTACGGTGACATTTAGCCTGCAGCATGCTGCCGTTGTGTAAAGATACTAAGAATGGTTTTGTGCCAGTGCATAACGTTCTGAAGTCTCCAAAGCTTTGGTATTTTGTTTTATTATACTTTCCAAGTTTTCTTTTTGGCAGCAATACTAGGTGTATGTATACGTGGGTTTTTTTAAGTAATATATTTCTTAATGCCAGATGTGATTTTTTTTTTTTCCTTAGAAAACTTTTCTAAATAAATCATTATGCTACCAGTTCCTCTCATCACCAGCCTGGTCTAAATTACATCTAGAGATAATCAGCTAGATTTGTTTCCCAAGCAAAGGGTATTTATGTCTTCATTATGTAATGTTGAGATGGTTTGTGGACTTGGTTTAGGTAGAATTTCTGAATCCTGGCTTAATGTCACAAACTCTGTATATGCTGGCTGCCTTTCCTTGTATTTTCACCATATGCTTCATTTGCTGAGAAACAGAAATAGACCACAAGGCCATTACAGATGAGCATGTTGGCTACTGAAAGCTGTGAGTGATTTGCTCGTTTTGCTTATTATTCCTTTGACATAAATCCACCTTACTGTGGAGAGGGATGAGCGCTTCCAACTCTGTGCATCCTCCTGGTTCGTTCTCACCACCTCTCCTGCACTCACAGTAAGAATTGTGCTGCTGAATGGTGGCTGAATCAAAGAACTGATCTGCTGAAAGCTACTCTGAGAGGTGGGGGCTGAGAGGGGATTCTCAGAAGAATTATGAAGAGGTGTTGAATTGGGATTTTTCCTTGGACAGAAGATGATTATCATTTGCTAGTACACACAGAGTATCTAAAATGACCTTCTAGGTGATTTGGCAATAGAATTCATAACATTCCTTATGCAATAAGTTAAATTATCTGGATTTCATCTTTCCTTTTTTTGTGTGTGTGTGTGCTCTGATCTCTGAGGGGCCAGGAGAAAGATCAGAGGCTTTACTACTGGTGCTCCAAAGCCCTTGTCTTTGCTGATAAGCTGCTCAGTTTCACGTCTCCCTAGCTGAAGAGCTTCATCCCATTGCAAAGGGATGCAAAACTGAACGTGAGTTTTTATTGAATATTAGAAATGGTGCAAAACCATATTCTGATGTTTAGAGGACAATGAAAACCAGATTGAACTGAAACAAAAATTCTGCATTCTGTCAAACATTGGCAGTTCTTCATGTCTTCGTCTTGAGCAAAATGAGATAATCTAATGGAAAAATATGTTTCCCAAAGACTTTTAGAAGCAATTGGGCAAATTCAAGATTTTCATCTCAATCAAACAAAACAACAACTACAAAAAAAAAAAAAAACAACAACCTGACTATTCAGTTACTTTTGAACTACTTTTCCTCTCTTTTCTCCTGAAATGTGATTTCTTTTAATTATTATTATTATTTTAAATGTTCTAAAATTGTCTTCTGTATTTTCAGTGACTCCCAAGGTCTGGCTTATAATGACTCACGTAAGCCTGGAAAATAATTTAGTTACAGAGCTTTCAGAAAGGTCTCTGGTGAAATGAATATGTCTGTAGGATGCACGTCATACTCCTGGTCAGACAAAGCTGCACAAAGCACCGATTCCCTCATAGAAGGAATTGCTGCATTCTACTGCACCTGAAAAGTAAGTTTTCTTAGGTTCCTAATGACTTACTTTTTTGCTACTTGAAAGTAAAAAGCTGTAAGTTATAGGTGCAGTGCCAGGCAGAGAGGGGCTGTGCTGCTGACCATGTGCATCACTTGCATTGGCTGTAAAAGCTGATGGGTTGTGCTTTACCCTATCGTGGGTCCTGAGTGTGGTTGATCCCTTTGTCCTCAGCCATTCTTAGGCTGTAAAGTACACGTGTTAGCATTTCCCTGGTTTTGTTCTTGACAGTTTCTTGAATTTGATTTACACTGTTGTGGTTTGTACTGTCACCGAAATGTATGTTTTAGAAGTCATGCCTGATCATCTAATGAATAAAAATAGTCCTATTATGATGATGTAAGAGCAGTTACTACGCAGGGAGCTTTTTAAATGAGAGATTTTTTTATGTGGGATGTGCATTCACAAGAAAATTGAACCACAGTGAGAGTATTCCCCTTGATCCAAGGGTGATATATGTCAGCCAGGGCTACTAATGTGCAGGAACTGAAGAGTAAACCTACTGTATGAAATAAAGCTGTGCAAACAAACTCATGGGGAGGCACTGATTTGATACAGTCCAGTAGAACAATTTTCTCCCAGTAAGTGAAGAAAATATTTTTGGCATTGTTACCCTCAAAATCCCATCTGTTCTAATCCATCTGCTCAACTCTACTATCTTTAGGGGATAAACAGGTGAACTAAACCTTCTCTGGCCCAACATAAAACCTCTTGTCCTGTCCAATGGACAGTACTCTCTTTTTACAGAGATAACTGAAAAAATTCATAACTTCTGAATTTTCACTTTAGGATTAGGAGTTGAATTTCCCAAGTGGGGAAATGTTGAAAAGGTCCAAGTTAAATTATAGTGGTGGAAAGATGGGAAGTTTACAGTGAATCTCTAAAGGAACGAACAAGCACAAAAAGCTTGTTTGCTTGAATTTTCTATGTTTATAGTTTACCAGCTTGGGTTGTGGGTTTTTTTTTTCATGGCTAACTGCTTGAAAATGCAAAATGGTCCTATGCATCAAATGTGAGACTTCCTATTACACACAGATAGCTGCCATTATACATCTTGCAGTAAAAGGTTATTGTCCTGTTTTACATCCACTTAATGGTAATTGAAGTCTAATTTATAACCACTGTAGTATTCATTCAGAGTAAACAAACCCCAGTATGTTTAAGGATTCAGCAGAACATATTGGTACAGGCAGCTGTGTGTTGTGGCTGCTGGACTGTCTGCTGAGTTGAAAAGCAAACCTAAAGCCCTGCTGCGGATCTGAACGAATCCTTCCTTCCTTAGAGAGCAGCCATTGCAAGGCTTATGGGCCATAGAAGATGCCACCAACTTCAGAGATAAGGTCCTGGAGCCTGCTTTCTGTTTTCTCTTAATAAGCACTGTGCATCCTCCCGTCAGATGGGCTCTGAATTCATGAGTCTCTGGCTGCTCATTGTGCTTTTAGTGTTTGGTAGTAACTTCACATGATAGATGAGATTCTAGCACTGGCACTATAAGAGTCGTATAAATGTCAGGCTTAAATTGTTGCCTTGTTTTACGATTTTAGGCTTTCTTCTAATAAAGGGAAAATAAATTAATATATTCCCTGTTGATGTGTTAAGATATGTAAGCTAATTAAAATCCATATAAATCATGAATGTTGGCATTTTAATGTTTTTGGTGCTATATCATCATCACATAAAAGAATGCTGCTTTCTCTGTGACCTGTGTAATCACAGGGAACTACAAATGATGTTAAATTTTACTCTGTGGCTCCTTCAGATGAAAACTAGTGCATCTGGAAGCCCAGGATCTGCTGGGAAATAGGAACAGTGAGGCACAGGCAGAAAAAGTTGGGTTTAACACAGTCAGTTAGCCCTGATAGGACAGATTTGTTAGATGCTCTGCTTGTCTGGCCCAGAATAGTATTTCTGTATGATACAGGGTGACAAAGAGCCATCGCCACTTCTCACTGCTTGAAATGATGCAACTATAGAAAAAAAATCAATTTTCTAAATGAGAGCAGTGAGTAGACATAACTGGAATAAGCAGCAAACTAATGGACTTGAGCAGGCTGGCCTGAATAGAGAGGCACTTATTCTTTTGAGCACAGCAGCGGAATCTTGCCCTTAATTCTGTGCCATTGGCCGTAATACAAAGGTAAATAACTAACTCTACAACCACGGAAATAATTTGAACTAACATTTTATTGCTTTTAAATTATAAAGCTGAAAGCGTATCTTGCAGGTCAAAACAGTGGTGAAGTGGGGGTGTTTGCAGCACTGTCTGAATATCAGAGCTTTAAAGGGCTTTTCAGACAGAGAAAGTTCTGGCATTGTTCCCCTATTTGTTTTTCCAGATGGAAAGAAGTGATTAGCCCTTTAATGGAGATACGAATCGGGGTTGGTAGGCGCCCCTTTTGGCTGCTTGCTTTCACTTGATGGATGCTCTGACATGGAGAAAGGACATCAGGGTGTTTCTCCTGTCCTGTGGATTTTATGCCAAACAGCAAAGTCCATTCCAAAAGCTAGTGAATTTAAGTACATAGAGACAGAGCTCTGGATTATCAGTTTAACGGCCTTCTTCTACAGATTCACTATGAAAAATAATAATATGCAGCACAGAAAAATTAAAATTATGTTCTCTTTTTCTTGGGAAGCTGATTACTGGAGTCTCTGTTGTGTCTAAGGGCAGTGTGTACAGAACAAGTTCAGAACACAGTTGGGATCAACAAGGTCATTTCATGGAAAAAACTATATAGTAAATAGGAGATGGCTAAGTGGTGTTTCCACTGATGGTTTTTGCTATGTTACATGCCATGTGCATATAACAAAAAGAAGGAATGAAAAGGGTGGTGCAGAGCACAGCTGCCTGCTTTCACTGAATTCTGGACACGGCATTTCTTTACTGTTCTGAGGCTGTTCTGCTTTGTCCCAGGTTTCTGGCAAGGCTTCGGACAAGATACACCTGGGCTCTGGGCTTCACAAGGCTGATTCTTTCTGGTCTGAGAGTTACCTACATAGTAATAAGGCTTGTGACTACTGAGTGGCTGCTGAGTTATTGAACTAAATACATAAAGTACAACAGACAGAACCATAACAATGGAAAAGTAAGAGTTTTCAGCAAGTAGCAATATTTTTGATTATCTCAGAGGGGAAAAAAAAAAAAAAAAAAAGCAGCCTGTGCAATTTAACAGAGAGAACTTAATGTTCTTTCTTGTGAGAGGCTGCAAATAAGTGAGCTACAAGACACTGCTGATTTATGTCACTGAAAATCTTGCCACACTGTGCACAGAACTATTAAGGGGAGCAAGTTCCAAGTTAGGAACAAGTGAACACTCTCTGTAAACTCATCCTTAAAGTAAATGCTGAAAATTATGCAATAAGTAATGAGATTGAGCTCATTTAAGGTGCTGCAGATGTTGACAAAAAGTGAATTTCTTGGTTGTGTGAGCTTGTCTGAAGGGCTGGTATTTTGATCCCTTCAAAAGAGAAGTTGTGAATGCAGCTCATGCTGAGAGGTGGCCCCACTGTGTGGGGTCTGTTCTCCAGAAAAGAGCCTGAAGCCCTGCAGGAAACTGCTGTCACATTTTCTCTGTTATCAAAGACCAAAATACAAGCAATTCTTGCTTTACGTCAGCAGGAACGCTCTCTCAAACATATGAAGCAATGATGTCAGTGGATACATCACCCAGAGTGGGCAAGCCTGGTGGAAGGATGGCATTTGGAGGGACCCATCATGTTACAAGGGAAACTTGGCTCTGCATTAAGGACTGCAGCTGGCAAACCCTTGGATTCAGTTCCCTTCTTTGCTCCTGGAAAGCTCCCTTAGAAGCAGCCTGGCGGGAGCTGCTGTGCACTGCCACTTTAAGGATGCATGCACTTCCAGGCTCAGGTCCTGCCACTGCTGCAGCACAGGGCGAGATCTTCTGCTTCGGGGCTCTGGGCTGCTCACTGCTCTCTGCTCTGTAACACTTGGCTGCTTCAGAGACGCCCGGCCAGGGGCTCAAGGCTTCCTCCCAGCGTGGCAGAGTCCCACCTGGTGCTGGGGCAGCTGCCACCATGGAAGCAGCACCGGGTGCTGCTGCAGCAGCAGCAAAGCCTGCGAAGTCCTGCAAGAAGTATCGGATGGTGAAGCGGCACGCCAACATCTACACCTACCAGGAGCCGCCCCACAGGTAGGGATCCTCCTCTCTCCTGAAGTGCAAATCTTCCTTATAGAGAAGAAAAGAGAGATCCTGTCTGTCTTTTATTTAGAGTGCAGTAACATGAAAAAGAAGAATCGCTCTTCTCTCTATATTTAGATGTATTTTAAAGCTGTTTTCTTTTTCCCTTTCTACAGTCATACTCCCTGCTGCACCATAAACACCTTCACTGTAATTCCAAAGTATAGCAGAGTAGGAAATCTCTATACCTTTCCTTTGTATTATGCATTTTCCTTGACTGTCCACAGTGACTGAGGGTCAGAGCCAGAGTGTGGATTGATAGATACACAGTCTGGCCAAGAGCATCCTTCAGATGTTTTTACAAGGCAACAGTGAGCTTGTGACTTATTTCCAAGTGATTCAAAGGTGTTGCTTTTTCAGCAAAATTGCAGAGAATTTTCCCAATGAAGACTCAGAGATGCTGTTGGAAAACTTGCTAGCTGTTTTTGTTGGAGGTGTTCGGTTCTGTTCACACTGCTGGCTCACATGAAATTCCCTGTTTCAAATGGAACGAGAGAGCTGCAGCTAAGTGAACGTGGTGCCAGCATCAGAAGAGAAGATTTAATAATTTTTCATAGAAATCTACATCAGAGCATGTATAATTTTTATGATGTAATTCCTGGTGCACTGTGGTCTTGTGCTTCTATCCCTATCGGCAGAGAACAGGAGCAAAGGGACAGAGCCTTTGTGTTTTAACAAGGAAATATTTTATCACTATTAAAATCAAAGTTAAAGGCCAAGACTGCATGAAAAGTAAATGAATTATAAGTGCTTCTGATGGAAAAGTTTAGATGGCACTTTGTTCCAGAAAAATATGTAGAAGATCTTGTTAGCATGATGTACAAGCTGGAAACACTCAGAGGAAAGACTGGAATTCAGCTGGGGAGCATGGATGAGTTAGTGAGCAGCAGGTGGTAGGGAGGAAGAGACACATCCCATCAATGGGGAAGTCATCCAGATTATTTATCAGCTTTGAAACAACAGGGTTCTGTGAGTTCACTTATTGCTCTTGTGAACTGGATACCACATAAACCAGCGGATGATGGGGATCTAGATGGGAATAATTTGTCTTGTTTTTCCTCTTGTGGGGTGTTCAGCAACTCAGATGAGGATATCAGTGAAGAGAAGGCTAACAGCCATGACCCAGAGCAGGTCTTCCAGAACATCCAGTACCAGAAGGAGGTCATGTCCAACATCCGCTGCAGGCCGTGGCCGATGAGGCAGAAGCTGCGGGCGCTCAGGTAACAACACCAAACGTACAGTGCAAAGGGTGCATGCCCAACATTTGGACTAAATTCTGTCATGTCTTTCACAGCACTGTATGCTTGGGATCGCTTTATTTTCTTCCTCTTCATCTGGCACCTTTCTCTTAAAAGTTGCCTGATGCTAGGATAGCATTACAGTCCTGAGGAAATCCCAGCAGAGTCCTTGTTTAATCTTGGAAGCAAAGAGATTTTGAGGGTGGTGGGGCACAGGCACAGCTGCCCAGAGAGCTGTGGGTGCCCCATTCCTGGAGGTGCCCAAGGCCAGGTTGGATGGGATGTTGAGCAGCTGAGCTGGTGGGGGAGCCAACCTCCATGGGGTTGGAGCTCGATGGCATTTGAGGTCCCTTGCAACCCAAGTCATTCTATGATTTTCTTCTGTTACACAGTCTGTGACTCTCTGCCTTCCTGCTGCCCCACAACTTCTGTGTCTATGAGTTTCCAGTGGTCCCCATCCAACTGCTGCTGAGGTCAAAGACTGTATGAGCAGCAGTAGGATCAGATGAATACACACTTCTTGGAATCTTGCAAGAGCAATTCTTTCGTAACCACATAAAACGAACCACACTATAGTGAAAATCTTATTTTAGGCATTTTGGTTGTGCCATATTGGGTTAAAAGGACAGAAAGGAAAAAAAAAATAAATGAACAGACAAGCCTTCTTGCAATAAAAGTTTTGAACGTCAAGTTTTCTCAGGCAGAGCTCTCAGTCAGTGTTTTTAATATGACAGTAAATCTTCAGTAGGAAAAAAGCTTTGCCTGCTTAAGGATTTCATGGGGAAACCTAATCCACGGCAGTGGTTCAGAGCATTCTGCTGCAGCTGTTTGCTGCTTGTGCAGAACTAGAGGCTCAGAGCACTGCGCTCAGTGTCAAGCAAAATTCCACCTTCTTGTGCAGACAGGCAAAGGAGATTGTGCTGAAGTACGAAGGGAGGCTCACCAGAACCAGAGGTTACCAGGCTGCTGGTGCGGAGGTATGTCTGCTTTTTCTTAAATTATGTCTCTTCTTTATACCAAAAGTCGTCTAAAGTTTTTATTCACAGACATGTATGTTTTCTATGTCATCCTGATTTCCAACTTGAGAGCTCTACTGAGGAAGAAGTAGATAAGAACTTGGTTTTTTGGCTTTTTTTTCAATTGTTAATTTAGTCATTACAATTTCGCAGACTAATTTGATGTGTGAGCGATAAATCTCCTTGTGTTAACACATTAGAAGCGTCCTTCTCAAATCATATGAATATTGATGTCTGCCAGAGAGGGTGATGGGAATGGGATGCTAACAATACGATGTTAGTATTCTCTGAAGAGCAATTTCAGCAGACCATGGGGCCACAGTTCAATAGTTGAGCGTGAAAAATGTGTCTAGCTTTTAGTTTGGAAGACAATCCTCCAATAGCTTGTTGTAAATACATTGTTAAAGAATTTTGCTTGCCTCATATTCAAAGAATTTGAATCTAATCTTAGCAAATCTATTTACACTATTGAAAATAGACTCTGGCCCTAATTACTAGAAACTAATAACGTGCAGGAAACTGTTGTTAATATGCAACCAACAGAGAAGAGGTCTTTGGTCATCTAAGTGGTCAATAACATTTGTGTCATCACAATGAGTAGACTTTTCACAGTGCAATTTATTTCAATTCTAGAAGTCAGGGTTGTAATGGTAAAACAGAACAGCATGCATTTTATTCATTTGAACAAGTGAAAGGCCACATGCATAACTGTCAGCTTTCCTTGTTCTGCCTTTGCGTGTAGAAAATGCGGTGAAAGTAGGATGCTGTAAAAATAAATACTGTTTTATGTCTTGGACTTCAGTGGAACTAGGATGTCAACCAGAAAGAGGAGAGTGCTAAGGGGCTGTGTTGGTAAATCAGACACTGGGTTTCATTCTTGTTCATATTCCTCTTCCTATGACAAAATCAAAGCTTTCATCTTCGAGTCTATCTAGTCTAATTGTCTCTACCGCATGTTTTTGCTTGAAGATATTCTGCAAGGGATATAATTCAGAAGTTGAACAACACCACTCATTATGTGTAGGGTAACTGTATTATTTCTTTAAGCACAAATTAAAGAGCGTAACAGGAAAACCCCTTCATAATATTATTAATAAAAACAGAAGCTAAGGAGCCCTCCCACATCTTGTGCATTTCTAAATCCCACCATGCCCATCTCCACCCCACAGACATGGTCTGAGATGATGATCAAGAACACTGCTAGTATTTCTTGCAATACCAGATGAGAGACACTGATGCATTTCTTTCTTTATTTTCCTATTTTTTTTTCCTCTCCATGCAAAGTTGTCACCTTTCTTTTCTTCTCTGCTTTTTTCTCCTTCAGCTTTGGAGGAAGTTTCTTCGACTGGCATATAATTTTGTGGTGCTCTTTATTCCTTGGGAAATGCGAATTAAAAAAATTGAGAGTAAGTACAAGGATTTAATGGGATGGAACTGTAAAGCCTTTGATGAAATGCTGGCTCTTAAGGTTTGTGTTTGGATTTACTGAATCAAACAGTATTTGGGAGGAAGTGTTAAAGGTGACCTTCCACCTGCAGTATGACTTTGATGTGGAACTTTACTTTTTCTACTCTTCCTGATGCCTTAGGCACTGCACAGATCTCATTGATGACCTTAGTGTGGAGTAACCAAAAAATTAGTAAATATAGAAATAAAAAATCGGTCTTGTCCATTGCAGCTTTGGTTATGGTTCATCACAGTCTGTGGGGCAGCATCCTTGGGCCAAGCCCAGGACCAAGCGGTGTGAAGGCACCTCAGCAGTCCTAGATTCAATCATGGCAGCCCTGAACATCACATCAGCAGTTAGACTGTGCTGCTGTGCTTCAGCAGCAAATGGAATTGCTGCATTACGTCACCCAGTGCAGCAGCTTCTTGAGTAAATACTGCTGGTAATTACAGATTCATCCAACAGAGCTTGTGGCATAATCATATTTTCCTCATTGACGCATCGAAGTTTTCTCTACCTTGCTGTTCACACTGCATCCATGAGGCAGGTTTTTCCTTTGCTTAGTCTTCAGGTAGTACTTAATGAATAAACGATGGGAGCTTTTGTAGACTGTGCTGCTCAGATAACTATTTTCTATGGTTTAAGGTCATTTTGGGTCTGGAGTTGCCTCTTACTTCATCTTCCTAAGATGGCTGTTTGGAATCAATATTGTACTTACCATAATGACAGGAGCATTTGTAGTCTTACCAGAGGTAAGAACATGTTGCTAATATTTACAGAAACATGCTTGCTTACCCGTTGTGCTTTCCTTTCTGAATTAAACAAATGCCACACTTAAATGCGTACATCAATTCGAAATGCACAATTTCAAATGAATTATTAAAATAAACACCATTATTAAGAGGGTTGTACATTTTTCTGCCAAAGGATAATTTTGCTATTAGTGTTAGAGATTATATTTTGTCAACATTGTACTAATGCTTTTATAGAATATGTTTGTATCCAATTACTAAAGTGGAGAACTAAATCCTAAAAGCTGCAGTTGGTATTGAACATGCTCAGGTCTTGCAAATGTGATTTATAGGCAGGAAAAAAAAAAGTAACATCTCCCTCCAGACAAATTGTTGTTCATTAGAAATTATTTTCTAGAAGTTTGAACAGCCATTATTTTGTTTAGATCTTGCATGCAAATAAGGCTATGTATTAACTTTGTGAGATAATTCATAGATAGGATTTTACCTCACTTAATCCGTGAAGTTATCAGAACATGTAAATATCTGATTTTTCTTCTTGTTGGCTAAGCCAAAATGCAAAAAGTCCCCAAATGAAAAAGTGGGCAGATTGAAGTGATGAAGGTATTCAGTTTCTTATTTCACTTTTGTAAGTAGACTTAATAAAAAAAAAAAAAAAATTGAGATGAAACATTGTCATATATAATTTAAAAATACTTAAAATGGACAGTCAGTTTTAAAATGTTTAGTTAATGGTTTTTTCTTGACCTCTTTTCATTTTTCAACCATTTGGAAGATGTCTACAGAGCACTGAATTACTTACAAGCAGAACACAGATGGCAAAAAAAAAAAAACAAAAAACAAAACCAACAATAAAATGAATGCAGGATTTCTCAAGGAGTTTCTAGCTTAGGAGAAGGAATGACCCTTCGTGGGTCAGATGGGTCGATGCAATGTCAGAGACTTTTTTTCCTCCTCTTCCAAGCTACTGGCTGGTGAACCATTCGGCAGCACCGTCAGCAAAACCATTCGCCCGGAAGACATGAAAACTGCACAAGACCTGGACACCATCTGGTCACTTGGGGCAAGGCTAAAACCACTCTTTATTGTTCTATTACTGCTGTTTGGTTGTACCTGTTTGTTACCGCTCTTACTTACAGACTCTGGTCTCCGCAGGGCTACCTCCAGTACTCTGTTTTGTTTTATGGCTACTATGGCAGAGAAAGGAAGATTGGGAAAGCAGGATACCGGCTGCCTCTCGCCTACTTCCTGGTTGGCATGGCAGTGTTTGCTTACAGCTTCATCATCCTCTTAAAAAAGTAAGATTTCCCGTTTATGGCCAGCCGTAAGCTCGGATGTTCGGGCAGACGTTAATGGCATGTTTATCCCATTTCCTCTGCATTTATTCTGCACGGTTCTATTAACCTGTTTGCATCTTCTAATGGCAGGAATGCAGATGGAGTTCAATTCTAGCTTGTTCTTTGTCTTGCTGATGTTTATCTTGGTTCTCCCTTCAGTTTCCCACTCCATAAAAGGAGGGTAACATGGATTTGTGTGGTTTGTGTTTGTACAGCGTGAGGTGTAAGTTGTTTCTGCTTTTTTCTAGTACAAATATTGTTCTGACAGAAACTTAGATTTTAAGTATAATCCTTTTAGGCATTGCTGTTCTCACCTACTGAAATACTAATACAAAAATTGTGTCATAGGTGTAATAACCTTTGCATTGTTTCAGCTGATAGGTAGCATCCCATTCATATTAAGCTTAATTCCTGTGCTGTTTGAAGGCCAGGAGGTAGGAGAGAGCAAGACTGCAAGTGCTGGCCATAAAATCCAGGAATGTGCAGTGCCTGGAGGGAGTGAGGTCGCTCTGTCCTCTTGGTTCACTTTCCCTTCCCTTCTGGATGCCTATTTGGCATAGTGCAGTCTAAGGCAATTTTTAGTGTTGGCTGTAATAACTCCGTTTCAAAACCAATCCTTCCCTTTCCATCTATTTTTATTCTACTTTCTAGTTTGATCCGAGGGTCACTGGTGTTCTTGATGCTGATTTACACATCTGCAGTTTCAGGATGTGATTAGCTTTTCTCTTTCTGATTTAGCCCACTGACTTCTTGCCTGCCTGATTATTGTTCCCCATATAACATTGTCCATTTGGCTGCCCTTCCTTTCATAAGCTATTAATCTTCATTTCATTTCTTAGATTTTGCAACATTCTGCCCTTTTGCCTGAGCCGACTAGGTTTTTTTTTCCTTTTTCCCAGGGTCTGCAAAACATCACTGGGTTTCTATTTAACAGTAACATAATTTTTGAGGATGAAAATAAGCAGAAAAAAACACACGTCTTTTGCATGATCACTTGTTTTTCCAGATCAGCTCATACTCACAGTAATAGCGAGTTTGTGTTATAGTATCTTCTAGCTGAACCCTACCTGGTAATCTTAAAAATGTTCACAGCTGTAGTTGTGAGATATACTTGCTTTATTTGCCAGGTATGAAAAATGCAATCAGTGAGTCTCTTCTGCACAAGAGCAAACATCGGGTTCAATTCTCAAAACCTCACCCCACTTTATTTTCATCATAAAATTGCTAGCAATTACACTGATTGCCACAAAGTATTTGTGCATCTAAAAAGAAACTGAAAACTATGAACCATGCCAGTGGTTTGAGGTACGTTTTCACACACCAGCTTCAATCATTTTTCCTTTTATTTTTCTATTCACAGAATGGCGAAGAACTCAAGAATGAGTTTAGCAAGTGCTTCTGATGAAAACTACACTTTCTGTTGGAGGCTGTTCTGTGCCTGGGATTATTTAATAGGAAACCCTGAGGCTGCAGAGAGCAAAGCGGCTGCCATAGTTAACAGCATCCGGGTAATCAACCCCCCTACAAATTATTTTTCTGGTTATTTGGAAATTAAATATGCCTTTCCTCTCCTTTCTTTTTGCTCCTTATTGTTTCCTGGCATTCACCGATGGATGCATTTGCCTGGGGGAGGATATCACACCTCCCTGTGGTACTGCAGTCACATCGCACTTGCTGACACTGTCACTGCATTTCATATGTCTCTTCTGTCCCTGTGTTAATACAACTCTTCTGTCCCTGTTGTGTTCTGTTTATTGCCACCATATGTGTGACAAGAAGCTAAAAAATAGGAACAAATTTGCTTGTCATGCAATTTCACTGAACAAGAGAATAAAAATTATGTTAATGATGTAAAAGCATGGATATATTTAATCTCTCCATAATAAATGGTCCAGGGGGGTACCTGGCTGCATCAATATCGGAAAGTTTATTAGTATACTTGATACCTTCCATGAAAGATGAGCATTATTTTGGCAGAATGCTATTTAATATATATATATTTTTTTTCTTTCAAGGAAGCTATATTGGAAGAGCAGGAAAAGAAGAAAAGCAAAAACCTGTATGTATGTAAGATTGGAGGCACTTTCCAAAGCACTGCTTAAATGCAGGCAGCAGGGCTGCTGTGATTGTTTCATGCCCATAAAAGCCATGTTAGAAAAGAGCCCTGGTGTAATAAAGCAGCCTGTTACATTGGCTGGGTGATTTTTGTTTTTCAGGGCAGTGACAATCAGCTTAAGGATTATTGCAAACATCCTCGTGCTTCTCTCGCTCACTGGAAGTATTTACATCATTTACTTTGTTGTGGATCGATCCCAGAAGTTAGAGAGCAAGAAGAGGGAATTGACTCTTTGGGAAAAAAATGAGGTACACCATATTTGTCATCGCTGTGTTAGAAGCAGGATTGTTGTCTCAGGGCTCTCAGTAGTGATAGTGTGTACTGAGGTGTAAACTGCAAGCGATGAGCCGGGAGAAATGAGCAGTGGGAGTGCCGAGCTCTGCTTACCTGGAGCTCTGCATGCCTGCTCCCTTTGTCTGCATCATGGAGTCAGCAGAGCTGGTGTGGGCAGCAAGGTGCTCTGAGACTGCAGTTCTAGCTGGCTCTTATTTCATGAAGACAAAGTTTGAAGTCTCTTTTTTGCCCATGACCGAGCTGAGTGAACACTGAGCCAAAGAGCTAGGAAGAACTGTTAGAAAGGAATCAGCTTTGACAATGGCTATTGATGTCAGCTGAGGAATACTGCATGTTCTGTGAATATTTTTATTCAGAAGAAGTGTATGCTGACAATAGAAAGTAAATGTGTACGGAGAATGACTCATCCATTTCAGAGGACAATGTTTTCTTTATATTCCCAACATGGTAAATTTTGATATTAATAAGCTAATACCTTTAAGGCTAGAATACAACTATCTACAGCAAAGATTCCTGAGTGATATGTCAGGTCTTTAATTTTGGGTCCCAACTGCAGTTACTACTAATGCCAGTGATAATTTTTCAAAGTATATTCTCCAAGAAAAGCAGTCACAAAAGCACGTGCATCAGCAATATTCCGCCAGCAGTCAAGGCACCATAGGATATCAGCGTGCAAAGCTACAACAGCGCTGTGCCTTTCTGTTCTGTAGGTAAGCGTAGTTGTGTCTCTGATTACCATGATTGCACCCTCTGCTTTTGAACTCGTGGCAGCTCTAGAGATGTACCATCCAAGGACCACTCTTCGCTTTCAGCTTGCAAGGTATGGACATGATGCAGTGTAGAAAGAATGTGAAGAACAAGGGAGGAAAAAGAAAGTTCTGCTAGTGTTTTATTTCCACCAGACAGGAGAATATATTACAAGTCCATGGGATGTTGATAACCTATGTCTTATTGTTTTCAGAGTTCTTGTTCTCTATCTGGGAAATCTCTACAGTTTGATCATTGCTCTCCTGGATAAAGTGAACAGTATGAGTGACAGTGTAAGTTTAATGTTTGCTAATGTGCAAAATGAGTTGACTTTACAACAGAAAGAATTCCATCTGTAGTATATATCATGTCAGCTGAAAATTAGTTTGAAATCCAAGCATTACAGCATACTACATGTTGAAAGGATTGTGAAGTTTATTTTGTAGTGTTCACTTCTGAATACTTGTAGTCTTTTGGATAACTGGATCCATTTGATTGCTGACATGTAGAAAAATAAATAATATTTTCTGTGCATTCCTCAACTACTTTAATGTCAGCATTTTAGGTAGTTGGAGGTACTGGACCTGAAATCAGCTTCTATCACTGTCCTAAAAAATTACCACCTGCATCTGTGCTTTGGCAGCTACTTTAAAGTCACCTAATTGCTGCTTGAAAACACATGGAGTGTTTTCATGTGTACATATGCCTTGTTGAAGGCATGAGGCTTTTGCATGTATGCAGGTATAAAGGAAGAGAGAGAAAGTGCAGGTGAAAATGCAGCTTTCAAGACGTTTGTTTTTCAGATTAACAACAATTCAAGTAATTCTACCCCCTCCTTTGCAACTGGAACTCCTCCTAAAGAAGGCAATTTATCTGCAACTATTTCTGATACACAAATGAATAGCAACAAATCTCGCGCTCAAAGCTTGCCAACCTCTGATTCACTGGTTAACAACACAGCTTCCTCCAGCTCTGCCCAGAATCAGTGCTGGGAAACCTACGTTGGTCAAGTATGTCACTGTTATATTATTTAATCTATTTATTCCTAATTCCTCTTTCACCAGAAGTTAAAACCATGTCACGGTGTGTTCAATTTTAGAGGTTTTCTTGGTGTAAATTCCAGAAATTTAGCTAAGGGCTGCATAGAAGGAGAGAAGATTGCACAAACTGATATGGCCACACATAAGAGCTTTGTTGTTCAGTATATACAATGTGCTTAGTGTTGTACAAGTGTCCTCAGCCAGCCTTCAGTCTCTGTCTTCAGCTCTGCACAGGCAGATCTCTACTGATGAGTGATGCAGATAGCTTGCATTTTAATGGGATGCACAATACAAAGGTTGTCATTTGATCCTGATGTACGTCGGTCACTGTCAGTGCTGCACTCATCCAGCGCCCGGGCCACTAAAGGAAAAATGATGCTAGCACATTTCTGGCTTGCTGAGCTCCTTATTCCAGAGTGAGCAATATTAAAGGTCTTGTTTGATCATCAGGAGCCAAATTTCCTCCTAGGTTTATTAGGCTGACTTCTATTCTGCCTGCTGCCCTCCCTATTCCACAGGCATTAGGTATTTCTTTTTTAAACTTTTCTTTTTTTTCTTCTTTTACAGAATGGGTTAGAGATTTTATTTTTTTTTTTTTAGATAATCTTTTCTACTTAATTGTATATTTTCAAGGCTCAATTAATTAAGGAGTAACCCCATTAATCTGTAAGCACTAAACAGACTTCTGTTGTGGTTTGGTGACCCCACTGTCACTGGGCTGTGGTTTTCTGTGAACAATAAGCATTTCTCCTTGTGAAGCACTTACTAAGTGTGTATTTCAAGAGTCACTACAACAAAGGATTGGGTACAAGAGAGTAAATAGCTGCATCCTGTCTATCTAGATAAATTTTCAGTGGGCTCATTAGAAAGAAAGGTTGAAACCGCCATGCCCAGAGTTTTATTGCTGCAAACTGTAGAAGGCACACTGGAAGTCTAATTATGTTTGTTCTTTACATAGACAAGTGAGGGTAAAGTCAAACAGGAAATGCATATAAGGAAACTTTGTATAAAATCATGCTTCATCATGGTACTAAGCATGATCCAAAATATGAAATGCAAGTATAAATGCAGAAGAGCTGTATGCAAGGCAGTTTGTTTCTGGAATGACTCAATATGTTGGAATAATATGTATTACAGGAGATGCTAAAGCTGTCAATCATCGACATGATATTCACAGTTGCAAGCATCCTGCTAATTGATTTTTTCCGTGGACTGTGTGTCCGATATTTGAGTGATTGCTGGTGCTGGGACCTAGAAAGCAAGTTTGTAAGTACAGGCTTTTATTTTATGAAACTAAGATGCTGGTGATGGGTAGGCTCCTTCCCATAGTACTGGATGTTCTGAAAGCCTTTTGATGGGTAAATAATTTCTCCATAGCGCAATCTATAAAGGCACAACTCACACTGAGTTTTATTTGGAGAGTACAGGATAAATGCTGAGATTGGGTATTTTTCTCAGGCCTACTCCCATGGCTGTGGTGCACAAACTTTTGTCTTTCCCAAAATGAGATCATGGAACAGTCCCATAGAAAAAGATGAGTAATTTCTTGGCCTTTAGAAAAACAGAGGGAACATGTTGCATCCCACATCCTCCTTTCTTAGCTGTAACAGCTGTCTACAATAGAGACAGTGATCCAAGGAGCAATAAGAAAAGGCAGATAACTCTTTAAGGAAATTACTGTAGTATTTGGTTAGCAAGCAGCTGTAGGCATGAAAGGCTCAAGTCTGTTCCTTGTCCTTAAGTAAACAAAGTAAACTAGAGATGAATTAGTTTATCTAATCCCTTGATACTGAGTAGGTTTTACTGGGTTCTCACTGTCTGCCAGAAGGTGGTATTTGATCCAGACATTTCAGGCCATGTGCTGTCTGAAAATGGAGTCAGCCAAATGATTCTAATAAGTGATCCGGAAAAAAAAAGTAAGATTAGGATGAAATATTTATCCTATGCTCTGTTTCTTGTAGCCAGAATATGGTGAATTCAAAATTGCAGAGAATGTACTGCATTTGGTCTACAATCAAGGAATGATCTGGTATGTTATCCATAAGCAAAGTGACTGACTGCAAAGTATGACAATTTTCAATGAAATGTATTCAAGCAAGATACTAGCAATGCATTCTCTTGCACTTTATTGCATTAAGAATTTGTCTGTTGGTAGTGACCTGTTGCTTACTTATTCTATTCTTTTCATGCAATGCTTTGCTGTTAAAATTGCTGTGGGCTGTGGCAGCACTGAGCACTGACATGACATTGTTCTTCCAGGATGGGAGCCTTCTTTTCACCTTGTTTACCGGCATTCAATGTCCTCAAGTTGATTGGACTCATGTACCTGAGGAGCTGGGCTGTGTTAACGTGTAATGTACCACATCAGCAGGTTTTCAGAGCCTCTCGGTTAGTCCAAATAAGAATGTAAGATAAAGAATAAATGAAACGCAGTCAATGGAAATGTCTTCTGTGCGCAGAAACAAAACAAAAGGAGCTTTTACTTCTGAAAATTGACAATCAAAATGGACAGATATCAAAGGTCTGTGGAAAAAAAAAAATTAGTTACCAAGAGATTGGAGAATTTGGAGATACAGCAGAGTAGTTAGATACACACAAAAGAGACTCAAGTGGGATTGAATTGCCCGAGGCTGGTTTGTGATTGTAGTGAAAACATTTAGATATTCTCTCCAAAAAGGCAAGGTATGAGTTTCACTAGGCAGAACGCAGGGCAGAAGGACTCATCAGCAATCGTGGCATTTCACAGCGGAAATCAAGCAATGCTATCAAAAGTATTTTTATTGTGAAAGTTTGGGGATAAACAGAAATCAAACTAAATAATATGTCACAGAAAATTCCCAGACCAGGAAACGTGGCCTGACAGAGATCATGTATTTCCATACCAATCTAATGAAGTACAATAAGCTCCATGCATAAATCACTGCAACTTCTGTATCTTGGTGTTTCTTTTTATGAAAACTATTAAGTATCCTATTTTATCTGCTGCGTCACACAATAGAACTTCCCCTTTTTATACTATCAGGATGAATATCAGAATTAGTTTTTCAAACTGAAATAACTTAGGGCATCTTTACATCTTAAGAATCAATTCTTTCTAATATGTTTTGAAGATGAATCAAATTCTGCTGCTTTTTTCTTATTTTCCCCAACAAATCTGGGCAGTCGGGTGAGTTTTTATAGAACAGTGCTATAAACAGTTCTCTGACTGGTAGCAGCAGTATCTGGAAAGCAGTACAAATAAAATTTTGACCATTAAGGGTCACTTTAAAGTGGCTCTGTTCAGACTTTTTTAATCAGAAGAGAATGATTTTGATCTTTCAGAAACGTAATCTTGAACTTGTTAGGTAGATGAAGACTTGCATCTTTCATGTTGCTGCTGTTTTTCTCTCTGATTAGGGTAATCTGAAACATTTATGTCTTCTTGCAGATCCAATAATTTCTACTTGGCCATGTTGCTGTTCATGTTGTTTTTATGCATGTTACCAACAATTTTTGCTATTGCCCGATACAAGCCATCTCTAACCTGTGGTCCCTTCAGGTAAGTTATGATGGACTAATGAAAATGGCAATGATTTTATTTCACTCTCAATAAATTATTCAGGTTTAAGAATACCCAAATTATCAATAAATAGTAGTTTTTGGATGGGGCAGTGCTTTCATGCTGCCCATGTTTTCCAGTTTAAGAATTAATTTGTTGAATACCTCATCATCCTAAGTGAGGGTACGTGTTTTGCTTTATATACATGGTTCCACTAGTTCATGTTTAAATGATGCAGTGTGCCATCAAGAAATTTATCACATATTGGTACCCTTCAAGTCTGGTCAGTGCTTTTGCACTCTTGCAAATCTGTTTAAAATGTAAGTCATGAACAAGTAGCCTTTATCCTTTGTTTTTGTAGTTGATTTTTTTTTTTTTTTCCCTTCAGTATACTGTGTATAAGTGGTCTTAGATGAATTTTTTTTTATTCAGTGCAACACTGTTTAAAAAATTGGACATACCAAGGATATTTTACAATTTAATTTTAATTTATTTTTTCTTTCCCTGTAGCGGACAAGACAAAATATATGATATTGTTTCTGAAACAATTGAAAATGATTTTCCCTTGTGGTTCAGCTCAGTGGTTACTCATATCAGCAGTCCTGTGGTGGTCCTCCCTGCGCTCTTACTTCTATTGTGAGTCCTTTGTTTCTCATAGCAAATTTAACTCAATTGTGTTAATACTAACTTCATCCCTGGACAGTCGCATGTTGATACTGAGGAGCAAGCAGTACATTGCTGTAACTTTATTAAACATATATGAAGAAGAAAACAACCTTACTGAATGTATGGTATAAGCATCAGATGGGAATGAGAGTATGTTAAAAATACTGTCACCCTATTTTCAAAAGGCTGCTTCTATGTTAAAGGAAGTTGGACACTGTGTTAAAGGAAGTTCATTCTATTGTGTCAAGGCTTACAATGCACTTGGCTCCAGGAAGTTTTAAGATCCTTCTTCCCACTCAAGAGCACCTCAGAAGTTAATTTTCCATTTCCTCAGGGTGATTAGTTCAGCACAGACTGAACTCTGTTCACAGGCGTATCATTGAAAGAAGCTACCCAGTCACACTGATTCCTGACAAGATAAATCAATTATGGAGGTCTGCTCTTAACTGTGTTAATGTAATATAGCTTCCTGCAGACTATCCAGTGGAAATCCTTTCTTATGCCAGTCTCTAAATAATTGTTCACAGCTGGGAATTAATATTTACTTTGAGCTGTTGGAAATTCACTTTGCTTCTGTAACGTATCATTTGCTTTGCAGGTGCCTTTCTTTCGTTTTCTCCCCATAAACAGATGAGCGCAGTTTGTCCTACCACCTTGGTTTTCAGATAAATTGAAAGGACCTAAAGCAGTGTTTACTATTTGTAGCTTTTTCCTCTAAGGTCATATTTACAAATTCACACAAATCTACTGACTGCTTCAAACTGATGACTAAGTACCTACATAAATGTTTATGTTATCTGCTCCAGCTATAAGTCTGTTTCATTTGAAAGCCATTGTCAAGCCAGACCTGATGTCAGCTGTACCAGTGGTATTATAACGAGGTGTTATTCCAGCCAGCCAACAAAATGACAGTGGAATGAGCTTGCAACTTAGCAGTAGTTCAGTAACCTTGGGCTGGAAAAAAAAAAAGAAAAAAAGAAAAGTGGGGGGGAGAAAGCATCTATCAAAATTTTCATTTTGAGTGTGTCCAGAACTGAAACAGAATAAGCTAGAAATGCACACAGGGCTACACGCACAATAAAAAGACTTGCAAAAAGCACAGGCACAATTTGACCTGCAGTTAAATCTGTTTTCAGTATCGCTTATGTGTTAAGCTTTCATATATGCTTGCCTGAAAGAAAGGTATGATCTATTATCACAGTACAAAGGAAATGCTGGAACACAAGGACTGACTGTTCACCATTTTGATGACTCATAATCCTTTAAAGAAAAACAGTCAAGAATGTTTAATGTGACTCACAATCACCTCTTTCATTTCTAGCATGCTGATCTATTACCTACAAAGTATTGCAAGGTCATTGAAATTCACCAACAATCAGCTGAGAATGAAGATCCAAGCAGTAAGTACAGCTCAAAGTACTTTCACGTACAAATTGGTGGGTTTTCAGGAAAGTGCTAGCCTAATTAATGTCATTTTCAATATTTCACAATGTAAATCCAACCTGCCTTTGTCATCTGTAGGCAATACTGGATTTACTTTCTAGTCCAAAATAACCTTCTCACTCTCCTGAATGTGTTTTAGGAAAGAACTGAAGATAAGAAAAAGGTGGTTCAAATGGCAGTAGGTAAGTTGTTGAGCTAAGGAAATTCCACTATTAATAAGGGATTTGGATGTGAAGATATTTTGATTTCTCATACACATAGGGAGGTTCAATTGTATTTAAAAAAAAAAACAAAAACAAAACCCAAACCATCTGTTTCCTGTGTAATCATGCTTTTAGATGGCTTTTGAGCCCAGCTTGACTTAATCTTGGCAGTACTGAAAGCCAAGGCGTGTAGTTTACACCTAAAGCCTGCTGAGATCTCTGTGCTGGGTATCTTCTTGCTTTTACCACCCATAGGAAAGAACCTAGTAGGCATTCCTGATGATTAAATCATGTCAGATTTTACTCAAAATTCGGAGGGTAGTAAGCAGAAGAGGGGGAAAGGGAATGGCTCCTTTGCTTTGACCTATCTAGGTTCAACATCTCATCTATGTTGAAGAGATTTCAGACTTGACATCTACTGTACCTGAGGGGATTTGTGTCTACACCTTTTACCTCTCAGATTTTAGCAATGAGAAACCATATTAGATTCTCTGACCTCTGGGTAAATTTGAGCCAGTGCATTTACACAATTTCTAAACTTAGAGGCCTGGAGAGTTCCTGTGATTAAATTTTGTTTTCTAGCCAGATTCCAGAATCTGGATGGGAGTGACAAAAGACCAGACCAAGACGGTGGTCTTATTAGCCAGGAGTCATCTGTTCGGGCCTCAACCCCACGAAAGAATGGCAGTGTCTTGAGCTTTGAATCTCCTGTGAGCAAAGGCACCAGAATACAAACCATCTCCCAGACTGTGCCTCACACCGTGCCCTCGACTGATGCAGCAAGACCTGTCAACGCAACTCCCACAACTTCAGCTTCTTTAACGCCCACAGTATCAAGTGTACAGAAACCAAGAAATGACCATACCACTAGCAGGCAAGACTGGTTTTGTGCAACAGCTTGGGGAATTTTTAAAAAGCAGAGTCATTTGTGGATACTATTCAGAATGCCAGTAACACTCTGAATGTCTTGTTTTAATTATATTGGTAAGCATATCTCCTAACATTTCCTTCCCCTTTTTCTTATTTTTTTCCTAAAGGTACCCAAGTGTTGTGCATGGGAGTGCAAGTGAGCTCTGTAAAACAAAGGCCTATACACCAGTGACTTTCAAAAAACGTACTGAAGATGTTCACTCTGAGCCTCTCTTTAGGAAAAGCATTCGGCAGGTAAATCCAGATGCTTTTGGAGCAGGGGCTCCTGTTTTTGTGGGACGCAGACCACATGCTACCAGATACTTTGTTGTTAATGAAAATGAACCCCGCAAAAAATCAGCCCGTTCTACCTCCCGACTCCAAAGGCAATTCCGAATAGAAGAGCCAGAAGATATTGTTGAGTTGTATCCACGCAATATCAGAAGATACGTGGTTCAAACACCACAACGCATGTATTCTCCTCATCCCAGTGAAGATGAGGAGGATGAAGAGGAACTTGGGAGACGCTATATGAAAAGATCCCATCGCCCTCGGTCACTGTCTGACCTTCGCCCAGCACCACGATTTTATATCGGGGAGCGTGCTGATGGCCATGTTCTTACGAGCAAAGACCTAGCCAAAGTGCATTACAAATCCTGGGATGATGGTTTTGAGCTAGACCTGGACAGGCCTCCATATGCCTACAAAAAAGTGCACCTGAAAAATGTTGAAGTTGATCAGCACTATCTTGAGCCACATGTGAAACCTAAAATGAAGCATATGCTGGAGCAGTCTCTAACAGAATCTGATTCTGTTTCCATTGAATCGAGCAGCGATCCGCAGAACAGCAGCAATGATCAATACATCCAGGTCATTCATAGCAAGGAAAAGTACCTGAAACCTGGGACAAAGCTCACCAAAAAGAAATCAAAAAACAATATTGAACTAAACATGTCTGAGCCTAATGAACTGGTATGCTCAAATGTCTGAGAAAGTGCCCCAACTTTTTGTGTTTAGAACAGGTTTGTGTGCAGGTTTGTGCAGTCATTGTACTTGCTGTTTGAGGTCTATTAGAATAACTACCACAGTCAGCCATTCGAGGTGGGAAAAGTAGTTAGTCCTGTGTTTTACTTTTAACTGTACCTCGCTTTGATATCATTCCCATTTATTACATGTTATGCTGTTTAAAAAAAAAAACAAAAAACTTATTGGAAAATCAAAAGCAATGTACTTGGAGCACTTGAATTAAACCTGTATAGAAGTACATCAGACAAGGCTCTCTGATGTGATTGCAGGAACATGCTCCCACTGAATCCATGCAGCAGGTAACCACCATCCTACAAGCGCAGAACAGCTCCCTGAAGTACAGAATCAAAGAATCAAACTGAGTTGGAAGGGACCCTTAAAGGCTATCTGGTCCAACTGCCCTGCTGTACAGGGACACCTACAGCTGATCAGGTGCTCAGAGCCCCGTCCAGCTTGACCTGGAGTGTCTGCTGGGGCATCCATCGCTTCTCTGGGCAACCTGTGCCAGTGCCTCACTGCCCTGATTGTAAAAAAAAAAACTTCTTCCTTATATCCAGTATAAATCTCCCCTCTTTTAGTTTGAAACCAGTCCCCTTGTCCTATCACTACAGACCCTCCTAAAGAGTCTGTCCCCTCTTTCTTACAGCCCCTTTAGGTACTGAGAGCCTGCTCTCAAGTCTCCCCAGAGCCTTTTCTCCTCCAGGCAGCACAGCCCCACCTCTGTCTGTCCTTTTAGAGGTGTTCCATCCCTTGGGTCATTTTTGTGGCTCTCCTCTTGATGTGCTCTGCCGGGTTCACGTCTCTCCTCTACTGAGGTCTCCAGATCTGAACACAGTACTCCAGGTGAGATCTCACAGTGCAGAACAGCGGGGCAAATCCTCTCCCTCGCCCCGCTGACGACGCTGCTTTGGATGCAGCCCAGGACACGCCTCGCTTTCCGGGCTGCGAGGGCACGTTGCTGGCTCACGCCCAGCTGCCATCCAGCAGTACCGCCAAGCCTTTTTCGGCAGAGCTGCGTTCGCATCCTTTCTATCCCAGGTCTCCTACTCGTTGTCTATGGAGGCTGGAAGTCCGTGCAGTTCACCGTCCGCCAGGCCACTCCGGGCCGTCGCAGCCCTCAGGTGAGGGGGAGGCGCCGCCATCGGCCCACGGGGGCGGCGCGGCGCGGCGCCTCATAGGCGGTGTGCGAGCGGCCGCTCCGCCCTGCCCGACCATGGACTACGCGGGGCTCGCCGAGTCGGCGGCCGACAAGATGGGGCTGTACCGGCGGGACGCGGACGGCTGGCGGAGCTGCCGCCGCACGGTGAGCGCCGGGGAATGCGGGGCGGCGGGGGCCGTGCCGCGGTCGGGCCGGCGGGGCGGCTGACGGCTCTCCCCGCCCGCAGGACGAGGTCGCGGTGTCCTGGAGGCCGTCCGCCGAGTTCGCCGGCAACGTGTAAGTGAGCGTAGCGGAAGGAAGCGGGGTCGGGGCGAGGCGGGAGCGGCAGCGCGTTCGGTTTCGTTTCGCCTCGCCTCAGGTACCGCGCCGAGGGCACCGTGGCCGCCCGCCCGCAGCAGGTGTGGGAGTGCATCAAGCCGGTGGCCGGAGGGCTGAGGACCAAGTGGGACCAGAACGTGAAGGACTTCGAGGTGGTGCAGGCCGTCAGCGATGTGAGTGCTGAGCGTGGGTTTGGGGACTCGGCGTTCCTGTTTGTGCCGCTTATGAAACAGCCGACGTCACGTGCGGGGAAAGGGCTGCAGTGTGCCGGGAGGGGGTCCGTGCCTCTCCGTGTCCTTATGGGAGTAAATTGTATCTGTTCTCCTGAAGGGCTGCCTTTCTGAAAGGAGCTGCTTTAAGTCTGGGGCTAAATACGTTGTCTTTTAAAGATAAGTACATTTATATCGCTGAAGATGTTGCACTACAGTGTTAACGCTGCAAACTGAGGCAAGCGGAAACTCTGTTAGCAGTCTTTCCTGTTCCCTCGTGGATGTTTGGAGAACCATAGAGTGGCCCCCACCTGCTTTGGCTGCCCACAGCCCCACCCAGCCTGGCCTGGAGCACCTCCGGGGTTGGGGCACCCACAGCTCTGAGCAGCTGCAGCCACCATCGCTGCTCTCTGAGTAAAGAATTTCATCCTAACATCTAATCTAAATTTCCCCCTCTTTTAGTTACTGGAAATACGAAGGTTTCTGCAGCACAGAATCTGGGTATCAAGTTGCTTTCTTAGGCGGTGTGTTACAGAGAAGATATCTTCATGAAACTCCTGAAAAAGAGTAGTGTTTTAATTGTCCACTGAGCGCGTGTGTGCCAGACTTGCTTTTCAGCATCTTTTTGGCATCTTTCCTTAAACAACCTGGGATCAATGCAACATTGGTGTGTTTTTCTTCATTAAACTATTTCATCAGCATATCACGGTGCCTTTTGCCTGTGCTGATTTGCTTTTTCTTTTTTTCTTTTCTAGTGAAGGATGTAATATAACTCCTTGATAAGTTCATCAAGTGTAACTGAAAGAGTACAACTGCTGTACTTTTGGAAACATCAACTGATGTAAAGTCCTTTGTAATTTCCAGGCTGTCTCTGTATGCAGAACCACAACCCCTTCAGCTTTCATGAAGATTATTTCACCAAGAGAATTTGTGGATGTGATCTTAATGAGGCAATATGAGGATGGGACGATGCTATCTGCTGGTAAGATGCTTATGTTTGTGCTGCGATCTTGATTAAAAGATAAAATGTTTGTGGTCTCTTTGCATTGTTCTTAGGCATAAGTCATATTCTTTTGTGGCTGTTTTTTTTTTTTTTCATCTTCACACAATTGTTTGCCTCCTGCAAATCACTGCTTTTATTGCTTCTCTGTTCAGCTGCCCGATTTTCCCTTGCTATCAGGAATTGTTTGCCAGAAAGTTTAATACCTGCTGGAGTGCTGCTTAGCAGTCAGGTGTTTGTACCTCTGTGGTATGGATTTGTTGGAAGCAACTTCGTTGAAACCCAGAGATCAGCGATGCACTTACACAGTGCAGTTTCAATAACACTCTCTCAGGGCATCCTAATGCTTGGTTCAGAGCTCAGCAACAGTTACTTCTGAATTTAACACTTCTTTAATTTCTCAGTCAGCAGCCAGAGCAGTTTCTACTTTAATGGTCGTTTCAGTGCTTGTATGATGCAGCCCAACAATAGGAGTGTTACGCTGCTTATTCTTTTCAGATATGTTTTCTCAGAGTAGAGTGAATGTGCTTCTCAGCTGCTGCTTTGAGTACAAAGGACTCTCTCCCATCTCCTGTGAAAATGACATAATTCTTGAATGCTTTTTCTTCTAGCTACCAATGTGGAACACCCACTGTGTCCCCCTCAAGCAAATTTTGTGAGAGGGTATAATTATCCCTGTGGCTGCTTCTGCATACCTCTTCCAGGGTAATATTTGATCACTATATTTTGAACCCTTTCTTATCCATTGTGCAGTGTGTTCGTGTGGATGTGCCTACATGCAGTCTTTAGTTCCTTGGCAATGACATGTTTCTATCTTCCTGTGACATACAATTGTTATGACTGAGTGCCTTTTCTGTTCTATTTTATGCTGCAAGTTAGTCTCTCCTTGGGAGAAGTCTTGAATGTTACAAGAACTGTTGTCATGATTCTTGCTGACCTCGTAAGTGGAGATTCAGCAGAGCATAGGTTGTGGTCTTAATATTTGCTAAATGTGTATCTAGCTGTTTGTTACATTGTCATAATTTGTAAACAGAATCACCTACTCAATTAGGGCCTAGCTTAATTGTAATTTGACACACACATTTATAGAAATTTAAAATTAATGTCTGTTGTTTGTTTAAAAAAACTAACTTAAAAGTATGTATCATCACATACTTCATATATGAGAGTCATTGTAAAATCCTTAATGTTTATTTCCAAACCTCTGGCTATAAAATCACTTGCATTGTCTTTCAGGGAACCAGAGAGGACTCAGCTCCTCAGTTTCTTTCAGACCGATCTTGGTGGCTACCTTCCCCAGACTGTCGTGGATTCCTTCTTTCCAGCTAGCATAGCTGGGTTTTACAGCAATCTGACCAAAGCTGTTAAGGCATTAAAAGCGTGATGAGACCAAATGCTGGCATCAGCTGCTGAGGGTAGGAAATGCACTGGCAGTTTGAGGGTAGTGATCATGAGAAGTAGGAAGATGGCCTGTAACACTTTTCTACTGACACGGTAAACGTGAAATTGTTCAAAGTAATGCATACTTTTCTAATAGGATATCCTTCATTTCTATAATTAGAAGATGTCACACCAGAGGCAAGAAGACTCCTGCAAGCAGCACTGCTGGCTTTCTGTGGGAGATGAATATACTAGATCTGTTCTTCATCAGTCTATGATTATAACATAAAATCCACTCTACCAGCGTTAGTCAGGTGCAAGTGAACTCTTTCTCTGAAGCTCTGTGTAGACTCCCATGGAACAACATTCCTTAACAGACAAATAGGTGGCTCTTCTGGTGCCAGCCCTCACAGAGCTGCTAGGATGTTTCAGAAAAGTCAGAATGAATTGGACTGTGTGTAGGATCCCACTTGTTTGTTCCCACAGACGTAGATATTTGTGGTAGATACGTCTTAAGTGCTGCTTTTCCTAAATCAAAGTCTAGCAATGCAAATCAATTAATAGGTCTGTGGGTTGGCCTGTAGACACTTTTCTTTCTTCCCCTCTGTACCAAGACCAGTCATTTCTACAGTGTCAAACCAAACTGCGCTGATAGAGTGGCAATAAAGAGGATTAAGCACTTTACTTGCCATTTTTTTTAACTTGAAATACTCAGGTATTTCAAACATTTTTCAGTTTCTTGTAGTGAGAGGTCTTAACGGGTAAACAATCTTTTCTGTAGCTCAGTCATGACTTGGCAGGCCGTAAGGACATCTCTTTAATACTGGCTTACCTCAGCACTGACTTGGGAAATCAGCTCCTGATCAAGTGTGTTGTGATGTGTGCAGCTTTTAAAAATATGTACGGTGCTGGTTACCGTGGGAATGTCAGACATTGCTATGGGTTACATAGAATTACAAAAGGAAAATTAATTACTGTATTAGCAATTGGTGGGTTGTGATTTTAATGCTGTAACTTGGTTATTTAACAAAGTTACTGTGCTCTGCTTTTTATCCCTGTATTTGTTTTATGTTGGTGTGGAGCATAGGTCTGCATACAAAGTTTTCCTCTGTCATTCTCACCCTGTGGAATAGATTTTTTTAAGGAAGCAGTTTTTAATTTAGTCCTTTCTATGTACAAAGATGTAAAAACTTCTATGAGGGTGATGAAATAAATATTTTTTTCTGCTATACCTTGTTGTCTTTCTTGCTATATCTTTCTGTTTTTCTTTAAAATTGTTCCTCCTACCCCTTCACAGGGTACCTTGAAGCACCGCTTGGATCTCCAGCACGTCTCAGAATTCAGTGCAGTGAGGCAGAAAATAGCCTTCCATTTAATTTGTACTCCCCACTAAGTGGGAATATAATGTTTTGGTGGGGGCACTCATTCTTGACTTCTTTGTCCATGGTTGGTCCTTTTTTCCTATTTAGTTTGCTGCTTTCTGTGCTTAAAGAAAGGTAACAAATTCAGTGGGGAGAGATATGGGTCCTGATGTTACAGAGGCTCGTACTTACTTCCCTAAATGTACTACAGGTTTTAGTCAGGCCTCATGTTAAGTATCTGGGCAAGTCTTTGCAAGATTATGGTTAATTTAATTTGCAGAAAGTTCTGTGAGTGGAGCTCAAGTCACCACTTGCTGTTCCTGCAATTAAACCTTTTGCAGATAGTGGGAATTTTTTATTAGTTCTTTTTTTTATATTAATTATATTTTTATACTACTCTGAACAACAAAGGTGGTGGTTGAGGCTTTTCCTTAAAATAACTTCAGGCTTCTTTTTCTGAGTGCTCAGTGTGTTCTATCCAGAAGCAATTAAGAGCACTTAACATTCATTCTTCTGCCATGCCAAATCAGAGATGCAAATGTCTTAGCAAAGATCATCCTGTAAGATCTTGGAGTGCCTCCCAATGAGATGTGCTGCTTCTGACAGTGTGTTTGCACTTCTTTTGATCCTGACAGATGACAGGAAATAGAGGCAATTGAGAAAACATTGAAAGTGAGGTAAGAAAAGCATGTTGGAAGAGGGGGAAAAAAAAGATCCAACTGACCTCAGTGGTTCTGTATCAGTTTTTAAGTTGTTTTGGGTGAGGACACCTTTGGTAAATGACACTGAGGTAATCTGAGGCATTCTGTGCTCATGGAACTCTATACAGCATATGGAAAATGGTGCCAGAATACATGCAGCAGCATTTGCAGCGTAGTTTTGTGTCCAAATTACTGTTTTCAGAGTAAAAGTTTGAATTCAGAAGGCTGAATTTCTAAATGCTGATATTTTTCTTTACAAAAATTATACAGAGAAATTTAAAAATAAGGTGCACTCTTGTTTCTAGATGGCCTTGCTGTTCTTGACTCTGGTCCCGTGAGATCTCTGACCAAAGGAATATCAGAAGAACCTTCACTCTATTTCCCTCAGCTTCCTGCCTCACCCTAGCAATACTATGAGATGCTCCCTTTATTTTTTTGTCCCTAGTGTTTGCATACTGGAGTCAACACAGCTCTTTCAGCTGCTAATAGAAAGCTATCCTGGTCAGTTTTAGGCTGTTCTGCAGTTTGAATAGAAAAGTTGGAGTTTTTCAGGGCATGTTTTATTTTTGAAGCGCTATGTTGTATCCTACCTCCTCTGCATTTTACAGATGCTGTGTTACTGTCTTTCACTGTGGGTGTGTACATTCCCTTCTCTTGGGAAGATAAAGCTGAAAGCAAAACTAGTAAAGCAGAAGTGAACGCTTTGTTGCAGAATGTGCTCTCAGCCTTTAAGAGAATGGCTTAAAATAAGAATACTATCGCTTTCACATCTTATTAAAACCAGTATATTATTTATAAAGTCATTTTTTGTTATCATTTGACACTGAAACAATTTTCTGAAATAGTAATCATTTACTTTATGTTCGCATCTTCTCATTTTAACCCAAACAGCTTTCTCTAACAGGCAGTGAAGTTGTATGTACCTTTCATATGCAGTTTCAGAGTATCTCGCCATGCTAGCCAGATGTCTGTCAGTGATAAACCACACCATCTCTTACTGTCTATAATATTGGCAGTAGTCTTAATTACTCCTCTTACAAAGTTTCAGATGCCCTCTTGGTAACGGAGCTTGGATTCTTTCTTTTGATGATAGCTGTGATGGGCCCATCAGGTAATGCCTTGATTATATTCCACGCTTCAAAACGAGTGAGTCCTTGCAAGGCTGTGGTGTGCACTTGTAATAGCTCATCACCAGGCTGAACTGGGCCGCTTTGCTCCAGTGAGGTACCTGTTGGGGGAGGAAGGAAAATAGTAAGAATTCTCTCTGTGGGGGAGCTTTAATTAGTCTTTCACTCATTAGGGTTCGCTATCACATTTGGTATAAATCGCCTGTTCCCAGGAGGCAAAAACTACTTGCATTGCATGGGATAATGCTGCATTTACAAAAAATCTCTTTTAATGAGTATAAATCAGGAGTCAGTTATGAACTACACTACTTTTTATCAACAAAGAACCTGCCAGCCTACACTCTGAAGTGTATTTACCTTTAAATATCCTGTTGATGATGATGGGTTTATCTCCATGAATAGAGCCCTTCCCACCTTCCAGACTGAATCCCAAACCAGCAGCTGATTTTTCTAGAGTTATAGTGCAGATTGTATCTTCCGTTGCTGGAAATAAATAGAAAGTTAGCAGGTGGGCACGAAAATACCTGGAAAACTATAAGATCTGATAAAAGAAATGAGATGCTGTTCTGTTTGCAAAGGCAAACAGCCAAATTGAAATGGTAGCTTTTAATTCCTCGTTTTGTGATTGTACGGCCCTTTGGGAAGCTGGAGAGAAAATGTGTTTGAACTCATAGCAGAATAGAAATTTAAAAATTAAAAAAGAAGGTGATATTTTCTAGAACTAAAAAAATCTGTTCAGTGAACAAAATTTGCAGTAAGCATACTTGATTTGACAGTAGTTTTGAAATTCTTATTAACCAGAAAGCTGCAATTTAATCTGCCCACGTGCTGTGGATGTAGCCACCTGCTACCTCAATCACTAGCACATTGTTTAAACCAATAACTCTTTCCCAAAGAAAAAAAGTCTTGTAAAGTGAAAACTTCAAATTAGAAACCATATTATCAGAATTCAGAATCACTGAATTTTCAGTTAGGCCTGTTAGTAGAATAACAGTACTTACATGCTTTCAGAAATTTATACGGAAGATCTCACAGTTGGTTGGTTTCCTGGTTTGGTTTGGTCTGATTTCTTTCAGAGGGTTCATTTATTTCAGAAATCCATTAATTCTTTCCAAAGCTATCCCAAATACCTCTTTCAGGAATGTTTCACAAACTGTGTTGTCCTTGATCACAATTCTAAATTTACCCAGCCAATGCTGAGCAGCTCCATTAGTACCCATGGTTTCAGGCAATGATATTAGAATCATACAATCATCAAGGTTAGAAAGACCAATAAGATCATGAAGTCCAACCATCAGTCCATTCCTGTGACTGCTCTAGACCATGTCACTCAGTGCAATGTCTGCCTTTTTGAAAACCCCTGGGGATCATTACTCCACCACCTCCCTGGGCAGCCTGTTCCAATACCTCACCGCTCTTTGTGAGAAGAAATTGTTCCTAATATCCAACCTGAACCTCCCCTGACTCAAGGCCGTTACCTCTCATCCTGTCAAACGCTGATTGAACACTGAGCAGGTAGCAGCTGCGAGGTAATGCTGCTGAACTCACCTGATTCTTGTGAGGCATCACTTGCAACTGAAGATGTGCTAGAGCCAGTTGAAATGTTGTGACTTTTTTCTCCATCTTTTGCTTTTCTAGTGACAACAACAGCTTGTCTGGGTTGTCGAGCTTGTCGCATGATCACTGAGGCATCGTTGTGAGTCGCCCCTTTAAAAGACTTTCCATTAATGGATAGTACTTCATCTCCTTTCTGAATAGTTCCTTCCTGAGATGCTAGTCCATTGGGAAACACCTTGTGAACCTATTGAAAAGCCCCATTACCAGATAGCCACACAAGAAAAGAGGGAAAAAAAAAAAGAAATTATTCAGTTAATAGTTTTCACTGTGTGTATTTTCCATTCTTTGTCAGGTGGTTGCTTCCAGCTGTTGAGGGCTGTTGGCTTTAAGAACTGTTGGGTGGGAAGGTGATACCGAAGGAAACAGGACACTTCTGCTAATAATTACCTGGAGATGACAGCTCTGTGCATTCTCACTCACAACCAAGATTTTTCTGACCCTATGTGAACAGCTGCCTATTTTAATTATGCCAAAAGCCAACCTCAGTAGTAGAAAAGCAGGAAGTTATATGTATTTTTAGAGAGAGTAGTTGTTTTCAGAGTATTTTTTGAGAAAGATGCTACTTACTGTTATCACTTTGTTTTCTAGATCTACACCCCCTGCCAGACTGAATCCAAGCCCAGTGTTTTCTTCTTTATGCAGAATTGTAACATGAATATCATCTAATTCCTATGCAGAGAAATAAACTGCGTCAAGAACATCCTAATACTTACATTGAGTTGACTGAAAAATCCAAGCATTTTCTATTTGTCCACTGAGCATTTTGTAATGATACTTAAAGATTTGAGCATAATGCTGAGACATGTCAAATGTTTTGATCAAATTTCCTTATCAATTACCTATATTATGAAATGTTATTATGTCAAAAACTGTTATGTTTCTGCAAATATGAGTCAATTAGATCTGACTATAATTTTAAGCAAATTTAAGAGTACAATAGAATCAGAAAGTGCTTAATGATGTAAGTGCAGAAAAAGAGGAAAAAATAATTTGGCTTGCAGCTCATAGATATAAGTACCACAGCTTAAACGTTTCTTCCAAGTTTTATCTGTGATAATATAAAGTTGCAAAGCTGAACCAGGCATGGCCACTCCACATGCTGAAAATCACATCAAAGATCACACCGAACAAAGGCTGATTTACCTTTAACGTCACTTCATCTAGTGATTTGACTTCCTCTATGAGCTTTTCTAACTCTTCAGGGGAAAGCAGAGAGATGACAGACTGCCCTGACACACCGGATGCTTGAGGTGAGCCTTGTTCCTGTTTCTCCTCTTCTTTCTCGCTATCTGCTAAGCTCACAGTGTATTCTCTCAGCTCAGAGAGGCTGTCCCATTGTGAAAAGAATAGAAAAGAAACACTGAGTTATGAAAGGACATACAAAAGCACAGAGCAGATGCTTCTGGAGCAGTAATCTTTCAATCCCCCAGCACTGGGAGGTAGTTCATGACATAAGTATTATGAATACATTCATATATCATATTAGCCTAGCAGAAGAATAAGAATAATCACACAGAAGAATAAGAATAATCTCTTGGCTCTAGAATAGAATAGATCTAAATAAACGTGTCTGTGGTTTTTGTTCTTGCTTTTGTTTTTCAGTTTCTCATTTTCATGTGACTGTAGTGATCTTCCTTGAGAATGCAAACAGTAGATTTTTGTTGTTATTTTTTGTAATCTGTGCAGTACAGTTTTGAAAGAATTTTTGAAGGCTCGTATGTGCTTTTGAAATATTTTGCCAAAAATACCTCTGTTGATTTCTGTTGTTTCCCCAAATCTTTGACTAACTGAAAATGCATATAAAACATTATGGGAAGCAAGCTTAATATTATTGGTGCCTTTTGTCTCTGGCTACATCACCTTCGTGTATTTGAGCCAGACCTGCTTTTTAGGCCAGAAGTAGTAGTATTTCAATGATATGCAGCTTAACCAAAGGCAAATGTTAGGAGTGTCAGGATGTTGGCACCATCTCATCACAGTGACTAGCTACAGCTAGCTTAATATTGGGAAGCCATAAGGTTTTCATTTCTTCTGGAAGTAACATACTAAAATTCCTCTGCTTCCTCACTGGTTCATGCAGTAATGATGTCCGTTTCACTTTCTGTTTCTACCACTGAGATACTAGAAATACTCCTCTTGAACTAGGAGAAAGCTTGAAATATGTCAACACTTATAAAAAAAGCAAATTAAGTTTACCAGCTATGTGAGGTATCCAGCCAATCTCTGTTTGTTCTTTACTATTGTGTGCTCCTGCCTGAGAATATTATCAGCTAATCAGCACAGAGACTCACCAATACTGATCTGCAAATCTGATTTCAAATACAGTGTCTTACTTTAGAGAAAATCCGGTGTCTGGGTGATGGTTCTCACTTGCAGGTGGGAGAGAAGTCCCATCCTCTTCTGCAGAAGTCTGAGATAAAGTGTCCAGGGCTTCCCATGCACTGTTCCCAGAAGGGACTGGGGACTGAGGAAGGCAAAGCAAAGACTTCATTAAAGCAGATGACACCTGGTTACTGATGGAATAGATTTTACTATACTTTTCATCGAATGTCTTCATCATCTCACAAGACTGGGTGGCAGTAAGTGGAAAGCTTCGTGATCTCAGGTTGTGTACTTTTGCTACTGGTGCTACATGGGAAGTTGCAATGGCTTCTGCAATGAGAAGGCCTGGAGGATTTTTGGTGTTGGCATCATTGTTTTTCTCTGAGCTGGCTGCAAGGATGTCTTTGGGACAGGAAGATCTATCTAGGCTCTTTGTACCCATAACCACAGATGACTTTGACTGTTGGCTATTTTCAGAGCACTGGAGAAAGGTTTGGCTGAAATGGTTTGGAGCCCCTTCTGACCATTTTGCAGAGGGAGAGTGTTCCTTCTGGACTGATGGTTTTGGGCTGAGCCTTCGGTGTACTTTTTCAGGTGACTGCGGAGCACTCAAAGATTCAAATGAGCTTATTCTCTGTTTGATCGATGATCCCCTGGAAGACAGACTGGATTGCAGTTCTTTGGTGGAAACACTCTGAAGGTCAGAAGGACTTTGATCTGCCTGTGGTTTGAGGTCTGAATTTGCTTTCCTCAGTCCCTTCAGACTTTGGCGAAACCAGGCTGGCTTAGGTGCTACAGGAGGGCCCTTTTTCAGAGCATCATTTTCATCTGATTTTAACACTTTTGAACTGACTGTTTCTGATTCTGATTTCTGCAGAACCACCTCTGAGCTGCTTCGATTTTCGTGTTCTTCATTTTTGTCAATGCCAGGTTGCAAATCTAAGCGGCCGTTGTCTTCGCTCATGGTAGGATTAAATAAGCTTTTTATGCAGTCGGAAATCTTAACCCAAGGATCTTCTGTTGTAGTATCAAGGGTATAATCTACCCGTGCTTGCCTCTTAAGGACAGGCCTTCGTATTGATGAAACTGGAGTTCCTGTATTAAAGAAACATTATTATCAAGCTGCCTCCTACTTCTCCTCATCCATCCTTTACCTATGTGTTTTCAGTACTTCATTAAATTTGAATTTCATTTGTCTCTGAGAAATAGTAAGCGTTTTATTTAAAATGTTTCTAGAAAATTTAAGCCTTATTTAAATTCACAACTTTTGATCTACAAGTTCTGTTTCCTGATGCTGAAACTGTGATCCCTTTTCCAAAGGGTTCTGTAACTTCCAAATAGGTTAGATGAAGTAGACATGAATGGAAACAAATTTTTGTTTGTGCAGTTGCTGTTATTTTTGTCTGCATCAGTGTAAAGAAAGAGATGTTGTGTAAATGAACATTACTGATTTTAATGATCTGAACCAGAAGTTACAGATTTACAGAAAACAGTTTAAGCTGGAAGGAACCTCTTGAGATCATTTAATATGTAGAATGATAGAATTGCTTGAGTTGGAAATGACCCTTGAAGGCCATACAGTCCAACTGCCCTGCACTGAACAGGGACACCTACAGCTGATCAGGTGCTCAGAGCCCCATCCTGCCCGACCTGAAGTGTCTGCAGGGATGGGGCACCCACCACCTCTCTGGGCAACCTGTGCCAGTGCCTCACCTCCCTCATTGTAAAAAAAAAAATATTCTTCCTTATATCCAATCTAAATCTCCCCTTTTTTATTTTGAAACCATTTCCCCTTGTCCTGTCACTACAGGCCCTGCTAAAGAGTCAGTCCCCTTCTTTCTTACAGCCCCCCTGTAAATACTGAGAGGCTGCATTCAGGTCTCCACTAATACTGCTTCTTTCAGTCTATCAAGCACAAAAAGATAGTAATTTATTATCAGTGATATGTACCATTACAATACTTTCCTTGAGGCAAAACATAACGTATTCTAGAAATGCTGAAGTAAAACTTTAAGGTCATTTTTTCATTATAAATAAGGACAAGCTTATTTATATTGAAAAATACAGTAATAGTATACAATAGTATACTGTATAAAATTACAGTAATAATTGTCCATCTTTGCTTTTTACAATAAATCATCTTGTCTAGTATGCTTCTTTCAATGTAGTTTCTGTTTTGTCAAAGACCAATGGAATGAAATTTCTTCCCTTCACCCCAAGAATTACAGCTATGGGTGAAGTGCGTGTTTAAAGATGCTATTTTCAGCTGCAACATCATATTAAACATACCTAAGTTTGGTTTTCGTTCTTGATCTCTGGCCACTGGAACAGCAGTTGTGCGTTCAGAAGCTGTAGGAGAAGTGGTGAAGACACTGTGAGTTACGTCTGTTTGCTGTCCCTCTAGCATTGGTTCTCTAACTTCCTGCTGAGCAAACAGGAAACAGAAGTGTGTCAGAATGTAGTTATGCAAACCACACTACATGACTCTGAAGAAAACTATATTTTCACCTGTTTGTAAACTGGTAGAAGATATCTGAATAGGAATCAAGCTGTTACTTCTGCTTGAGATGCAATCCTTATACAACATAATTGTTTCTCTATTTCAAGAGAGCCAGCATGGTATTTTATGGTACTCTTGTAAACAGATTGAAAAAATGCAGCTGACATTTCAAAAATGTAGTCAGTGGCAATAACACCATAAACCAATTTCTTCTGATGAAGATCTTTTACCCCCAGGACAACCTGGATAAGCTAAATCTAATGATTTAGATCTGTACCTTCAGAACTCTCCCTTTTTCGTTTTTCACTGGAAAAATAAAGTAAGAGGATTACCTTGAGGTTGCAATCAATACTACTCAACACCATGAACAGATGTTCTTGAATTACTTGATTCCTCTGTAACCAGTGACACCAAGCTGCCATACCATGGTGCTGGAAGTGCTCTCTGCTATGCAGTTAAACTACAAGAAGCAGAACGAAGCAGGACTGTGTACGTCCTGAAAAAAGTCAGTAATTAAAGAATTCCTTAAGGTTTCTGTAATGTGGTGGTGGTTGTTAGCATCTTATTCTAGGAAAACCTTTTTCCATGCTTACAGCAGCAGTAAAACCTTCTCTTCGTTATCTAAAATGCATTCTGACAAGTCTTCTTGGGACTTAAAGAAATATTGCCCTGAGACATACATACCCTCTTTCCAGAGGAGGTTCTCTTCATTAATAGAGAAGCTTTTGACTGTATTGATCTTAAGATTGATTTTTTCCTCCTTATTTGGAATAACTGAGGGGTGAAGGTTCATGAGTTGTACGCAGTGATAAGTCCAACAGCCACTTAACTGCTCCGAATTCTAGTAGCTGTTGATGAAAACTGAAACTTTCTAGGATGTTAACATTATAGTCGGAGTTCATTCTAAGCTGCATGGGTTTATTTTGACCAGTTGGGGAAATGTATTGCGTAGAGTTCAGTTCATTTTTACTGGCATATTGCTAAACCCTGGGGAAAGAATTTTTAAACAAGCCACAACTTTGTTTCAACATGCAGATCTCACAGTCCCTCAACTCATGCAAACATGAAACACCTTCTATTCTACCTTAGGTAAGAAAAGGAACTGAGTAACGTACAAATCTACGCTCAACTGATTTACTCCTATATTCTCAAAAAAGAAGGCCTTCAAACCCTTCCCCCAGGCCCCACAAACACAAACACTTCTCTTTTTCCCCTGACTTACTTCCTGTTATCACACACAGCCCTTCTCTTCGCACTACTCCTTCCCCTGCCTGGCTCACAAACACACACACGCGTTTTGCTTTACCTGCACATTTGCAGAAGGTGATTCAGTCTCTTCAGATACAAGCTTTTCCTTTCTATCTGCAGTGTACTGATCATTTCCTGTGCAGTCCTGCTTAAAATATTTCCTTGGAGGAGGTTTGGGCTTCGATGATTTAGGTTTTCTAACAAGAATCTCTGTTGATTTCTTAGCATTTTGCAAGGGTTGATTTCCTTCGCTACAAGTAAGAGGGGAACTTCTCTCAAAATTGTTTCCAGACAATGAATACAGCAGGCCAGGCTGTCTGGTAATTGGTACATCAATGCTGTGTACCCTTTCTTTCAAGTCACTCAGTTGATATGCAGCACCATTACTACACAAGGACCTGGGGTTGTAGCTGCTGTCACTGCTGGAGCGGGTCATCAGCTTCTGGGCTTTACGGGTGCAATAAGCAGTGTTCCTTTCAATATGTTTTTCACATGGGTGTTTTCCATGCCAGCTTGTGTCTAGTCTTTTAACGCCTGCATAAGAAACACAATCAAAATGTCTGGTTAGATATGTGACAAGGGCTTACTTCTAAGATCCAGCTGGCTAAATTTGTAGCTACCTCCCACCATCATCTGGCACACACAGTACAAGGAGTTAAAGGCTTGTGAGAGAATGTCAGTGGTTAGATTTTTGGACAGCAAAATAGCATTGTTTTTCCTATCTTATATCAGTATCAGCAGTATGGTTTATTTGCTTATTTCTTTGGTCCTTATTTCTTCAAAAATCAAAGTTACTGCATGTCAATGAATGCACTCATCCCCTTACCTTCACTATTCCATTGATGTCTCTCCCTTCCAAATCTGTTGTTTTCCACAGCTTGTGCAACAGCTTCTTTTAGCTGCTGCTCAGACACCTAGGAAATACCACGCCATTATACTCTTACAAGGTTACTGTGTGGTGAGTAACATTTAAACTTTCATTCCTTTCACAAAACTTTCCAGCCCCTCTAAGTCTTCTAATTGAAATGAATATACCTAGTTATATCATGTATCATTGTTAAACAATCGCACATTGTTATAGGGGCATCTATACTAATAGAGCTGAAATTTTTCTATGCATGTGCTATTTATGTTGGCTGTTTTGGTAAAATAGGCTCTATTGATAAATGTACTTCTGCATATTTCTCTAGATCTTTAATACTGGATTTATCAGTGTGAAGTAGTTTAACGTCCCTTTTTTTATGATAATTTAATGCAACAAATTAAAGTTAATCATTTATGCTGTAGTTGGTGTTAGGAAGATATTCTAGAGAAATATCTGATTTTACAAAATTTTTACTTGAATAACAAACAGCTGAGGAAGACCTAAATTTTAATTACAGTATAGAAAATGGAAGGAGGGGGTGGGCAGAGAAGGGTGTAGAAGGGGGAGGAGGAATATATATTCCCTCTTTCAAATTTATGTCTTCTTACTAAGAATTATTTCTTGAATAAAGTTTATTTTTCTGATTTATATAATTTTGTTGATACCTTAAATATTATTTCTGTAATTTCCTTATTCACAGCACATAAACTGTTGAAACAATCTTTAAATCTTATGTGATTATATGCAAGAAAATATCCTAGGTTTATACCTTAATCAGTCTCATATACTTGCAGTGATGCTTATAATGAGATCAGCATCTTTGTTAGCAACATTTTTTTTTTTTTTTTTACTGTTTGCAGATTAATACTTTCTCTCTTTCTTAATCTTAGTTTATCATTACGTGTTTTACTGAAAATGAAAATACAGAGTGCTACCTGTGGTTCAGGGTGTCTGCTGATAATAATCTGCACGGCACCAGGGTCACAATGGCTTAGCACAGCATAAGCTTCATTCAGAGTCATATTTTGCACTGATGCTTCATTAATTTCAATAATTTCATCTCCACACCTGCAGAGATATTTAAAAGAAAGTGTGAATAAAGCATTTTTTCTACCATCTTTGTTTCACCCGTGCTGAAATATGCAAAAAGCAGATTCACGTGGTTGACCTCTAATTTGATCACAGATATGAATTACATTGTCTCATTGTTCTCTTCACAGAAAATGGAATGCGGATGAGTTGAATGTCAAGTTTCCTTTGATCTACTGCATTGCTGCATGCAGCTTATGAGCTTCATGCTTAGCTACTCATACTTTGTGTCTCTGATCTTTCTGCTGTATGCAGCTCAGCTGCTGTTTCCACCTACAGCTTCCTTCCGTCCTATCAAGTTAACACTTCTCACATTGTTATGGTCTGCTAGTGTTATTTCAGATGAGAAAGGATGTTCATATTTCTGCTACATGTGAGTAACTTGTTAACACAACAATTCTAGTGACAAACTATTGTAATCCTGGTGATGCTTGAACTGAATCTTTCCAATCTGTCCACTCTTCCCTGTTTCTTTACAAATAGTCATATATATTAAGAAGCCTTCTGAAGGCACTGATTCATATCAAACTTTCCAATAGTGTGCAACCACTTTGTTCTTTCAGCTAAGTACTAAGGCATTAGAGAGAGAACCTAAGTTAAAGCTTCACTGAGAAAGCTGTGTTCTGTTCAATTATAAGTATGCTCAACGTGACTACTTGAGCATAAATCTTATGAAGTAAATTTCTGTACTTCCACTAGGGATCATTTCAGTAAAACTGCATTTCCATTGAGAAAGAAGAGAGAGAATCTGAGGAGTTTGAATTGGGAAAATCTAAAACCCATGCAAGTCAGAAAATACCATGTATTCTGTTTTTTTCCAAATATGTTCTCATTGTTTCACTTACAGAATTCATTCTGGAGAATATTTCTGTGCTTGTCTAAACCCTCCAAAGCTATCCAAGTATAGACGAGTGACAACAATCCCACTGGGCTGTGATGTTTCTAGAAATTCTGGCTATCACAAACATTTGCATTCTCAAACCCTCAGAATAGCATGTGCTGTTAACCCAAAGCCTCCAGGAGGCACTGACCTCCTGCCCTGTGAGATCAAATATAAAGCCATATAATGTTTTAGAACAATGGAAAAAAAAATTATCATAAGACAAACTTTCTCGTCCTACCTGAGTCTCCCATCCATATGTGCCACAGAACCTGGTGAGAGGGTGTGAATGAAAATCCCTGAAATACACTGGAAGTAAGGGATGCTGCATAATCCAATTCCAAGGCCAACCCCCGGCTCTGAAAAAAAAATGATAATAATAAGAAAAGTGTAATAAACAAAATGATAATAATAAAGAAAAGTGTAATAAACAGTCAAAACAGACAATTGGAGAGAATAATTTTAAAAGACACTGTTTTCAATTTATTTAACTTATTCTGTACAAACCAGGAACCTACTCTTTTTTTCATTAGTTGTACCTATTATACATAGGATGCAATCTAAGTTTATTTTGCGAAATATTTTTTGTGACAGTGGAATTCGAATGACTACACAGAGACAGAATGAAACAAAGAGACCAGAAATGACCATGAAGGAAGTGTGTGGTCGTTTTTTGATATATAGTCTCAATCCTCTTTTTGTTTCCTACAATACAGCTCAAGATTTTTGCAAATATACTTCTTTGCTCTGCATGCTCTGATGTCAGATCCATTTCTATTTGGTGAGTCACCTCAAGAGGCTTCATTCATTGCTTTGTTGATCCTGTTTTTAGAAACGTATTTCACTCAGTTATTGCTCATAAATAGGAGAAGGTACCAGTTGGAGCAGGAATGGCAGAAATACAGGAAGACATAAGTATGCATTTTACTTCTTTTTAGGCCGTCTCAAGAATGAAGCAAACTACTTGAATAATTAAGGATAAGAACTGCATAGGAATTAGTTGTTGCTAAGAGATAACTTTTTCATCTGAAAGATATGAATGTGACAACACTTGTGTGAAGAAATGGTATAATTGACTCTTGAGGACAGATGGTATTCAAAAGCCACTGCTGATAGATTGTTGTTAGCACTGGAGGCACCATGGTCTACTTTAGTATATTAAAAAACTTAGTTCAGGAAAATAATCACGTTAGTGAGGAAAGACATGCAGATAGCACATGAGTGGTGTTTTGTGAATCAGTGCCTTGTTTGTCAGTGCTAAATTAATTTTAGCACTTACCTTTGTTTAGGCTAACTTCCATTATGACCCTGTCATTGGGCTTTGTGGCATTTAATAAGAACACTGGACTTTCGGAACTGAAAGAGCTGTTTTCTTTGGTTATGCATATACTGGAGCTGAGTGACTGACATAAGTGGGGCGACAAATAGCTGGAAGCAGAATGAGGTGTGCTGAAGCTTGTCCTCACTGTGAGGGTCAGAAGACCCTTTTTGGCCTGTTGGAAAGAAAAGATCATGATTGAATGGGTTGAGTTCACACGCATGTTGCGTGTAAAGGCTGGAACTGTTTTGGAAGGAGAGTACATAACCTTGAATTTTTGTAAAGCATCATAATGTGTTAATCCATGCATTGATTCTCCATTCAGTTCTAGGATTTCATCACCTGTTTTTCAAAATAAAAAAATATGTTACTATTACTGTATTGTGAATAAGTTGTATGATACATGCGTGTACTAAAAAAGGAGTCTTGCAAACATAATAATGGATGAAGATATAAAAGTCACTTATGGCTCATTTCAGTGAACCTTCATCTTCACTTAATCTTCCTTTAGATATTCTTTGGGAATCTGGAGTGGGAAAAGGGAGAAACAATGGATTTCTTGCCTTCTTGTAGCCTTCCATCAGCTGCAGCAGCTCCACCAGGAAAGATGGTTTTGACATAGATTCCTATTGGCCCATAAATGCTGTCTTTCCCTCCAACGATGCTAAAGCCCAAGCCCTAATTTATGGAAGAAAAATGGTGTGTGAGAGACGATGTTTAGTTTTCATATCCAATCTGCAGCATCATCAGCATTAGCTACATGGACAATACTAGTAAACGAAATAGTAAAATCTGTGAAAGATAGGCAACCACGTGCCAGTAGTAAAAGCAAATGAAAATTTCAGCTGAATACTCTCATGATTCACTTGCAATCAATTAATTCTCCATTATAAACATATATATGTATGTATATATATTCTCTTATCCTCTACCAAACAGGTTAATGTGAGTTGTAAGTTTAAGCAATGACTGTAGATCCTTGTAAGAAGATGCTTGTCTTTGATTATTTTTTTGTCTTTCCTCCCTACATAAATGTCAAACTATCTACTACTCTCAGAAGGATGTTGTGAGACTAATTCATACCTTTGGGGCCATTTACCATCCCTTAAATGAGAAATGAAAGAGCAGTGCTGATGATGTCCTTCCGTACTCACAAACACAGACAATAAGTGATGATTTTGTAAATGATGCTTATCACACTTCATGTAACAACTTCTGAGAGATATCTCACAGCTTAAATAGTTACAATATGACACAAATAAGTTTTAATAACTTAGAACCCTATTCAACAAGTTCAAGAGGTATATATCTAAGTTCATAACTTCCACATCCTCTCTGTATTCTGATATGAACTGGCAGTCCACAACTAGCAACCTGAGCACCTGAAGTCATTATCAGTTTGCAGTTGAGAAATGAAGCAAAACACCGTATGTGGTAAGTCAACAGAGCCAGCCTCACCTTCCCTTGTCCTTTCATCAACACGATGTTAGAGATTACCGAAGCCTGTGAGCCACAAGATGCATGCACCAGCTGTGCTGTACTCAGTGATCTAGATGGCCTTGAAATTGCCTGAGAACACAAAAAAATAATAATAATAATAAAAAATTCATGCAGAACCAGCCATTCTTTGATGCAGTTTAGGGAAACTTGTTTATTTTAAATTTTCTTCTTTACAACTGATGTTACTAAAGGCTTAAAAAATCCTTCTCATTTTGAGAAGCCAGTTGTTATTCAGCGAATCAATTTGCATAGACTGCATTGTGGAGTTTGGGGCTTCTTATGTGAAAACTGATCTTTTCTGTGATACATTCAGTTGTTGGTGGTCTGTGTTATGCTTTCTTTCAATGCATGTGAATTGAACTCTGAGGTCCTGCTCAGTGAAATTGTCCAAAACCAGAATGCTGGCCCTGGAAGTTATGTGGTGGTGTAGAAAGATACATTTGTGCTCTCACTTGATTCCCCATGCCAAAATCCCATTTGTGGCTGTTAGGGATCCTGTTGCTGCATTTGCCTCTAAGAACTGAACTCAGAAACAAGAAATTCTAACCCCTTCCCTCATCTTGCTACTGAATAATTTACAATGAGACATATAGAACTTGCTTTCTGCATTTCCCCAAAAATATGAATTAGTGCTTACAATATTTCTTCAGTCTGTAAACTACTCCACACTGTCTCCATCAAGCAAACACAGGATTCTCTCTACAGCTGAAACAGACGAAGCACAACTTTTTTGCTTGATAACCAAGGCAAGCAATTTCTCACTGCTCTTCCCCCATCCATGCCACAGTGGATTTCTTCATTCCATCCCCTAGATTTCACCCATTTTAATGAACCTTTAATGAAATGTTTAATGGAAACCTCCTAACTGAACATAGAATTGGGTATTACAAATTAATTTAAGTATCAACAGAAGTCATTACCTGAAGCTAACCATGCACAGAGTTTAACAGGGCCAGAGTTAATAGAACTCATTACAAATCCCAGCAACTTCAGTGTTGTTTTTTTTTTTTTTTTCAGCAGTAAAATGAAACTAACGGGTGTGAAGTGCCTGGAACATCATTCAAAAATTCAACTTTCACATATGCTATAAGTCAAGATCTTAACACGCAAACAAGCTTATTAATTCAACATCATGTTGAGGACATGAAAAAATCCTGACAAGGAGGAAGATGCCTGTGCAAGACCAAGAATGTACCATCTGGTATGTATACCTCTGCCACATCTGTCGTTGCTTATTCCCCTGTGCAGACCTCTTGCATCTGAAAGTGGAAGTTTTCAAATTTCCTGTGTTTCTGGCTGTGAGTTGTGCTTTCTGTTTGTTTCTTTGTGTGGTAGGTTGCAGCACCCAGAACTGGGATGCCACCAAAGAGCTGATGGGCAGCACCCACCACGTGGGACCTCAAATACCCTCGTGCCCCTACCTGTCCCTGCTCCTCTGGGTTGTGGTGGATTGCTTAGACAGCAAAGGGGCGTACATTATCATGGTTGCTGAAATATGTCTGACTCCCAGTGGAGCAGAAAGAGCCTCATGAAGACAGCATGGCTGGGAACGGTAACTACCAGCCATGAGGTGACTCCATACCTGCATATGGCCATAACTGGGCTAATGGAGGGAAGTCTGGATGCTCACAGCAGCAGGGCCCAAAGCTCAGGCCATGTGCACAGAGCATCTCCATGGCTAGCAGTGGGGAGGTGTTGGGGTAGGGGCCTCTTCAGTAGTGAGCTCTGGGTGGCTACCAAGGTGGTATGAACCACCTAGGGGGGATTTGCACACACTGTAAAGGCTGCCAGGACAAGGGATGGGAGAAGATGCTGAAGAAAAGGGGTTTCATTGGCATAGTACCTTTCCTGCTCCTCATGGGGGAGAGGAAACAGCTGTGCCAGAGACTGGTGGTGCCTCTGGTGCCATTTTCCCTGATTGGGCCTGAGAGGAAGATATGTTTTGATGGGCAGAATGGCTGTCAGAGATTTTCAGTGTATTTTTTCTGTTTTTCAGGTGATTTCCCATAGCACTTACTGGGGTTCTCCCTCCAGAGCAGTCCAGCTGTTGGGAAAGTGATTTCCGATTGGTATGGAGGGCATGGGGCTGCCGCTCTCTGAAGGGCACGGCTTTCCGGGGTGCTGTGCAGTCCATGTCCCCTATCCAGAATGGGTTTATACCTGCAGAACATGGGGAGAGGGGCCAAGTTACTTCTACTAGCTTTGTAAATCTCTTCGCATTCATCTGATCAGGTAAATTTCCCTTAGAAAAGTTGTTTTTCCAGCTGTAAATCCCTCTGAAGGGAGCCATCTTTTTAATTCTAACCCTGGGAATAGCAATTAGCGTTAATTATATTAAAAACAAACATTCCCAACCACAAGAGCATCGGCTTACTTAGAGTATACTTTGATAAACATAAAAGAGAATGTTTACATGCAAAACCCTTGATTGTAGGATTGGAGAATATAAATACTGGTGCCTTTATGTGGCAGCAGTTCTTAGCTGAGGATCTCAGAGTGGCTGGACAACAGCTGTGCTATCTTCCAACACTGCAGACAAAGTACTGTGCTGTGCATCCCACAATAATACAAGAGAAAAAATGATTTCTTTGCAACTTACTGGTTGAGTTACTGCGTGTCCGTTGACACAAGGCTTTACTCTGCAGAAAACAAGCATTTTGTATTTCCAAAGGCCTTTCCTTACAGGTTGGCGTTTCCTTCGAGGTGAAAAAAAAAACCAAAAGAACTGAGAATATACGGAGGAGTAATACCTCCATTTGTTGACTTTTTCTAGTAAGACTATTACATTATAATGCAATAAATTCTTGAAAGTGATCTCAATATAAAAACAAATTTTCTCCTAATTTGGCTTGTAGCTTGAAGTGAAAACATTGAGCAAAATTGATTACTTAAAATATAGGAGATGATAACGTAGTAGATAGCTCAATGTTTTGTCAAAGAAATATGATTATAACTTGCCAAAGCAATAAGGTAGAAATAGATTCTGGTCTTTAGTCAGAATGGACATAAAATTAATGGACATCACCAGTCGATTCAGACAGACTAACATTTTGACACATGGATGAAGTGTAGCCATCCTACTCTAATTTTAGAGGATGACTGGCACTTTTAGGCACTTTTTCTTACGAGAGCATTATTTTCAAAACAAAAATGTTTGGGCTCAGCTTTACCATAGTGAATGGGTGTCTAATTCCCACTCATCTTACAATAATGCCCAAATATGTGTGTTTAGCATCACTGAGGACAAGGGTTGAGCATTTTTCAAAAACTAAATAATAAACGTATGATAAATGATAATAAATAAATTATAACATCTGATTAATAGTTTGATGTAAAGAATAATGTCTGGATGCATATATTTCCCGATAGTCCTGTTTCTGTCACGACATAGAGAATGCCATTGATCATGAAGGAATCACAGTCAAAGGAAGAATATTATTGAGTGCAGACAGTGTAGGGAAATTGATTCAGTAGAACTGCAGGTATAAAAGGCTTTTGCTCAGCAGTATTCTGCAGCAGTAAGGAAGCCACAGAGAACTTTCAGAGTCAGTTCCATATGTTCTACTGTGTCTGGAGCCAACCGGAACAAATACTTTCTTCCAAATTTTAGGAGCCAGATTTTCAGTAGTGCCGTTTTTTTTATTCAGAACTGACAAATGGTAATTTTCCTCTTTGACAGCAGGTGGAGGCATTTGTCATGTAGCTAAATCATACTAGGGCTTTCTGCTCCCTTTCTCCTACGAGCTCTTGAGAATAAAAAATGCAGAGAATGTCCTCAAAGAGGCGTTGTGGAACTGATTTTGCAGTTTCTTTTACAAGCTAGCTTGCTCGACAAGCCTTTACTCTTAACCCTTAAGTATTTGGATGCAAATTTGTCTTTAACCTGCCTGAGTCCTGAGTGGCACTGTGCCACAATAGTTTGGTATATGTCTGGCCACTGAGCTGCTTAAGGAAGAGAAAAAAAGCAAAAATCTTGGCAGAACTCTGTAGACGTATGGGTGAGACAGTTCATAATTGCAGTCCTGGGAGGGAGTACTCTCTACCCAGTCTCTCTACCTGATAGCAGGTCCAGTCAGGAATACTTCCTCAGTCTAGGATTACACCAGAGTTTTCTGTGTGATCTTACCGTAGATAATAATAATTAAACAAAAAGACGAAAACAACAAACAACCAGATGATAACTTTTTTCCTTGAACATCAAGACCTTAAGCCTGCAACAAACCTCTGGCTAAACTCTGTTGTCCTCAAAGTGGCAAATGTGTGATTAGGGGACCAACCTCCAACATTTGCAATTGAAAAGCTTTTAGTACCATCTGGTTTGGGGTGGTGAAAAGGGTCTAATCCAAAGAAACAGATCTGAAGGGTTTCTCCCTGAAAGATTTAGTGATAACCCAGGGCTGCTGACCTGCAAATGCCTCCTATTTCCCTCTCTCTGTTGTAGGTTCCCTTAACTTTTATCACAAAAACTTCCTAGCTAGAGATCCTAGATTTAAAAAGAAAAACAAACATACAAAAAAAAAAAGAAAAAGAAAAGAAAAGAAAAGAAAAGAAAAGAAAAGAAAAGAAAAGAAAAGAAAAGAAAAGAAAAAAAACCCTCTACTTCAGTATAGGAACTGCTTTCTGGCTTCTGGATTCACGGATCCTTAATCCACTTCTTTTTCTCAACTTCCAAAGGGAAAATGAGCACTGGCAAGCCATGTGTTTCTAAAAAGATGGATTGCACAGACTCTGCTAGAATTTCCCAGGGCTTCTCCATAGCCTCTGTTTATTTGGGAAAAAAAGCTCTGCTGAAAGCTACCAGTCTGACCACAAGAGGTTTGGGGTTTAGTCAGAAAGAGAAAAACCATGTCCTTCAAATGTCTGATGCACAAATTCCCTTCCTCTCTCTTTGTCAAATCACCCCACAGTTGTGGGGGAAACACAACTTTCATGCTTCCTTGGCTAGCCATCACCATGCTCACCAGCTGTGTTGTTGATTGAATGAGAGATTCAGCCTCCTTGCTGGGCAGATCTTTAAGTGATTGCCCATTTAGTGTTAACAGTTCATTCCTTGGACTCAGACATCCATCCCTTAAAAAGAAACAAAGAATAGAGGAAAATGAACGCATATCATTTTACGTCAAAAGAAAAATATGGCACTGTTGTACTATGTACCTCACTTCAAGAGTCAACTGCAATCTTCCCTTTGCCTTGAAGAGAGCACTTTCTGACATGTTTTGATGTATTATATACTCCATCTCAGGGAGATACCCCATTCCTAGTCTATGACTACCCTTTGCTATTAAGGCTCTTGTTTTGCCTTAAGTCTTCAGAGCCAGAGGGTTCAAGCCACTGATACATATGCTATCTATGGGGACTGAGCTCATGTGAGAGACATTCCCTCCCAGTTTCTGTGTTTCCCTGTCTGGAAGCTCCCATACTGGCCAGCTTGTTATACGTAGGTAGATGCTCAAGGAGTAAGGGCTTGTGTCCAGGCTATTATGACAGCACAGAATAGCCCAAACTTGTTGCTGAATGCCGGTTGTGCAACATCTGTGCAAATAGTTCCCTTACAAGCTTGCAAACTCCACATGTGCTGTACCTGTTTGTTGTGCTTCCAGCAGGTACCTGGCAGCCTGAGAACCCTTTCCAGAGAGAGGCACAGTTTGGACTCCTGGAAAGCTTGATTCCTGAGCTTCTGTTTCCTCTGGTTGCACACAATCTGCAGATGCAGTTGTCCTGATTCAGAAAGATGAAAGATTGCATTAAAGAAAATGTACCATGGTTGCTAAAAGTTACGTACATTTATATTGCATCTCGTGAAGAAATGCTGAAAATTATTTTAGAACCAGATTGCCTCCAAGAGGAATGAGAATTGGCCGTTAATGGTGTGCAGTTGTGAAAGAATAATTTTATTATAAAGTCAGTGTTTAAATAAATTGTTTTCCTTAGCTTCTGACTGAAAGAAGGAAGAGGAGAAACACTGCATATAGGGGAAGAGAACTGATAATACATTTGTAATAGCAGCTGGCTAAATTTTGCTCATGCTGACGATTGTAAGAAAAGACAGGGAGGAAAAGTAAACACACATCAGAAAAGGAAATACTCCAAAAAACATGCTAGCTCTGAATGAAAAATAAGTGTATACAAAACATGGGCAGCTCCACCCTGGCTGCTGACTTGTTAAGTAGTGGGCAGGGGAGCAAAGATGACTGCAACACTGGAAGGTTTTGTCATCTCCAGTCTGGGTTGAGGTTGCTGTAGTCTGTGTGCTGCATCTGGAGGGCTAATTGTAAGCACATTTATAACACAGTTATGAATCATTAGCATATGGGCATACAGAAAGAGAAATAGTCTTAAGTCATGTGAGTAAATAAAGCAAAGAATGGATTGACTAAGCATACAAAGGAGACACTTTTGGCTAGGAAATACAGTCCTGCAGCACAGATACTTAAACATTTAAACAGTTTGAAGAGACGAAGAAAGCTGGAAAGTTAGTGCAGAATTCTTTCTCCATTTTCTCAGTACACCTCCTAATTCAACTATTCATTCTCTCTGAGCTAAATCTGCTCTCCCTGCCCACACCAGCCTCCCCAGACAACACAAAGTGAACGAGGTCCTCAGCGTGTTCCCAGCAGAGCTGTATGCCTGAGACATAGATTTCAGACAGGGATGCACACTCCATACATCAGGACAGGCAGTTGTCAGCAGCACTGTCTTGTTCACAAGGCACAGCAGTGGTCAGCTGTCTGTATTGCTCCAGGGTCCACTTCTCAGAGTGTCATGGACTATTTCCAGTGATTTGTAGTTCTCTGACAGCACAAGGAAAGCTGTATAACCACCTTCTTTAGTATCTCTGGAGCTGCTTCCTTCCCTAAGCAGAGTTCATCCAGCTCTGAGGGTTATTGTGCCCTTTCACCACAAATCAATAGGGATCACATTATACCTGACTGTCAGCAAAGGCAAACTTTGAATTTACAGCAATTTCAATACAGGTCATCATCATCCCAGCTGGCTGTTGGAGCTTGGTTCCCATTCTGAAACCTGCCAGAGTAAATCTAAGGCTGTGAATGAATGAAGTATTTGAGTTCGAGCCCTGGACTCACTACAGACTGAATTCAGTAGGTAACAGATAAGGGCTGTGCTTGTATTGACTGACGTGTTAACTCTGTGGGTTTGCTTGCATTCCAGATTGTCTGCCATTGATGAGGAGCGTCTGAATTTAACGAAGCTCTTTTGTTTTTTGAAGAGTGCTTCCAGTAAGTAATAGGTAAGTGTATGAGTATGGACATCATTCTGTTTTAAACCAGTTTGTTTGAACTCTAGTATTGGTTTTGGAACTTCTGCATTTACTTTTCACCCAAGGTAAAATATTTTGGGGAAATATATGCATGAAATCAGGACTGTGTTAGGTTATTTTCCATCTCATGGCAGTGCTTTAAAGTCTTCAGCATGGTAACAAAATAAATTCTGATGTCTTGAAATGTCAGATCTTGAGTAGAAAAAAATATTCATTTTATACATCAGTGAGAAAGTACAGACCAGATTCTGCATACGTGAAGCATCCATTAAATCAACAGGGTCCTCGAAAGAGCAGTGTGCCAATTCTAAAACATTAGAGATGTAAGATAGATATTAAAATGTACTGTGTAAGATATTGTGTTCTGCTTCCTTGAAATATGCAGATGTTCTCTCACTGCTGGTGGTCAGGCATGCACACAGCTTCTTGTAGCTGTCCTCCTTGTCCATTTCAGTCTTAATTTCCACTTAATAGTGGGCCTCTTCAGGCAGCCCCCAGCCTCTCTCATGCTCATTCCCTTCCAAGAACTTGTTCTCAGCGCACAGCTGCTGCACACATAGTATTTATAATACTCTTTGTCATTATTTGTCAGGAAGGCGTTTGGCTATCGTCAGTTTCCCAGGACATCACAGAGGTGCAGTGTGTTTGGCTCTGAGATTGTTTATGGCGCGCCGTGCCAGCCCTTTGGGGAAGGTGTTTTGTGCAGTGGGACAAGTGCAAGGCTGGAAATTCTGGCTTGTATTGGGACACGCATGTGAAATAACACCAATGAGAACTTAACAGAATATTCTTTCCGAGAGCAATCAGTTGTATGCACTTAGAAAGAAAGAAATTAAATTCATTGTGCATTGTAGAGAAGTCTTGGGAAATATTTTTGTTTTTTAAACTCTGTGGTCATCTTACCAAGTTGGGCAACATTTCAAATAGGCTCTGTGTGTCAACAGTTTTTAAATGCATTTGTGTGAACTACTTAAGAAAAGAAAGTTTCTTGGACAGGAGGGACACGTGGCAATATATCTGTATGTTGTCGGCATTTGCACTTCTTTTGGGCCCTGGATATAGATCCCTGTATTCACATCCAAGTTATTGCAACATGACAGAAAATTAATAAAAGCTGTTCTCTAGGAAAGTAAACATTTGACCACTTCACATGCCAGCAGTCAATTTGCTTTGGGTTTTGTCCTTTAATGTCTTTTATTTCCTGTCTCACTTATTATTATATGCATAGAAATATTGCTGATGGTTCCAGGAGTAAAGGCAGTATTTGTTTTCATTCTCCTCCCTTTTAATGTGTCCTGCTGTTTTTGCATGGTGATTTATAGCTCTGTAGCAAATGCTGAAAATTTGCTAAAGTGAGGTTGAGAGGTTGAGGAGGGAGGGAATAGGCAGGTGGATTCTAGGTCAACTTTGCCTACTCGTTATTAGTGCATATTTTTAAGCGCATATTTGCTGCCAGTGAATAAAATCTATCTGCTTATAAGGGGCTTTGCAACCCAGCACTTCAGGACTCAAGGGAAACTTGTGTTTGCATTGCCCATTACTGTGAAACCAAAATGAAGACGGTCTGCAGGAGTGCATTATAAACCAAATTAGTCTTTAAGCTGAATCCGTTCGGCTGAAACGTTAAAATCAAAGGGGGAGTTGAAGAGTCTTCTTAAATGCATTTATGTTGCAGGTGAGAGTAAATTAATATTTCATGTGCTTTGCTCTGGAAAAGTAATTTGCAAGTTCAGGCAAATCCTCTCCTCCTGCTCTCCTTCTTTTGTCGTGCTAAATGAAAAATTTCGGAGGATGTTTTTCTATCTGCCATTTAAGAGATTTCTTTTCTCTTCATGTTCTCATTAGGCATTTCTAGCCCAGAGTCCCGTCTCAAAACATCTCGTTCCAGATGTTGTTTTGAAGTAAGGGTAACCATGGCATCTGTGAAAAACTAAAAAACTTTTGTACACTCTCAACGTAAGACACAGTAGTTAGATTGTCTGAAATGAAGTGTTATACAAGGCTGGTTCATGTAAGGTCTTTGACTCTGTTAACTAAGCATATGACAATGAGCTGATTGACTGCTGGTTAAAAAAAGGCCAAACACACAAAAAGCAAAAAATCTAACAACAGTACAATAGTGAATTTAAATATTTGGCTTTTCTGCCTTCCCAGCTGTGAAATGGCTGGGATTTCCAAGTGGAAGATGAAGAGAACACAGCCTTTTGGGATTTTCTTCAAGAAACCTGTTTTCCTGCATCATTTCTAACAAAGAGTCTCTTTGGCATAAACTGACATGACTCCACTAATTCTGACATCTCTCAGCCAAAGCCTTGGTCCTTCCAAAATATTTATAGTAGATGTAATTCGTTTTCCCAGCAGCATATTCCCTTTGCAATTAATAAAATGGTAGAAGCCAGGAAGCCTTGGGATGATGCAAGAATCGGGGCATGGGATTCAGGTTCTGCCCTAGATACACCATCAGCATATCAGATATTTCAGACAGACCTTTCCACCCGTCATCTGGGCTCTGATTTGTTTTTTTGGGCAGCCTGTGCCCTGGCCCGTATGTTGCTGCATGCACTGTCTTAGTGTTACTGCCTCTTTTCCAATTTGCTCTGGGGATAGCATGGCCCTGATGTCACAAAAGCAAGAAGGCTGGGAAGATGGACAGAGAAAACAGAAAAAGGGAGGAGGAAACAGAAACGTCCAAATAAATGTAGTCTCCTCTACTTGCTTTGTTTTTCCATCCTCGCCATAGGCTCATGTTCAAGACATTACAGTCTGTTGCCATAACACTTATCCTGGTACCAAGGAGCCAGCTAACTGGCTTCTGCACAAAGGCAAGTTAATAAAAATAATTCTTGTGACAACCAGGGGAGAAAATGACCTTTTGTGTTTTTTCTTCTTCAAGCAGAGGGTCAGAAACCAAGGGAAGCAAGGACAGAGAATGATCTGGGACTGAATGGGGCAATGCAGATCAGCTTGAATCGAGTGTTTACATAAAGTCCTTCCCTTTTACAGTTTATTCTAGATGGTTTTTCACCCACTTCTGCCAGACTCACTGGTAACTGTCAGTGCTTCCCAGGCTGTCCTTGGTGCAGGGAGGAGGGCCCTTGACTGAAAAGGAATGCTTCTGGAAGCATCTCTCCAACCCTGTGAGACTGCTGCTTTCCAGAGAATGAGTCAATATTCTTTCTTCTTGTCCATCTGACAAACTACAAAGCCTCAGATTTTGTAATGGCAAGAGCAGGCAAGGCTGTCTTTGACAGTTTACTTTGTTAAATGCATCAGGTATCAGATGCTGCTTGCCATTTTTTTCTTTCTTTACAGGCCACCAAAAACCTGCTAATTTTGTGAGAAGCGAACTACAAAGGAGATCTTTTTATTTATAAATTGAGAAGCTGGTTTCCCAGCTGTGTCAGTGCTAGAGTAAGTGTGCCTCATCTTAGAAGCTAAGTGGTCCATGAGCTGGTTGGATGGATGATGCTCAAGTAATGCCACGTGCTGGAGGCACAATGAGCTATAGTTGATCTGAGTGAATCTTGGAACATGGAAACCAAATGAATTATAAAACCGTTCTCATTACTGCTAGCACTCCATTTAGAGGAGGAAAAAAATCCTATCTATTTAGAATATATAATGAAAGTAGAGGACATACATTGAAGTCTTTGGTGTGAGAGATTAATGGATCAGGCTGAGAAATTCTTTTCCAGGTAACATCTTACGGTGCATACGTTACATACCATAAGGTTTTGATCCAGCTTTTCTTTGCCTGGTTGTGCATGGTGATGTGTTATTTACTACTTTTGCTTTTTGTACAATCAACCAGACAGGAAGAAAGAAATGGCTGGGAAGTACATGAAATAATAGCTTTCTGGTGTGGTAAAAAGAGCAGTAGGGATGCAGAAGAGGAAAAATATGTGCCTCTGACCCATGTTCAGAAGTCCCAAAACGTTTTGCTTATGGCTTGTGTAACAGTGAATCTCATGCAATTGAGTGGGTGGCAGCCCTGGCCAAGGCAGAGAGGGTGGAACTAGATGATTTTTAAGGTCTCTTCCAATCCAAGCCATTCTATGATTCTATGAGATACTTTAGTTTTTGAGCAGAAGAGTGAAACTAATGTTTGGAAGACTGATGTTTCTGGTTCTCCCCTAGTCCTGAAGAAGGGAGGCACAGGGAGCATTAAATCACACTGCACTTCTAAACATTCTTCTCTGATTCCATGTTTAACAGCATAAAAATGAAGTTGTTCAGTTGCATGAGAATTACTATCACCTTCAGAGACATACTTAAGACTGTAGGAAATGGAAAGCAAAAGAGCAGTGGGATAACCTCAACAATGCCACAGAAAGAATGGAATCAATTTTCTTGAACAAAGGCAAGGATCCTTCAGCTCTGAATCACACATTGTGAATTGCTGAAGAGTCACGTGGAGATGAAGAGAGTGTCGTACTTTAAGACTTGAAAAACATTTCCTGACTCCTTTCTTAAACAGAGAATTTTCAAGTTTAAGATAAGACACACAGTATAGGAAGATGATGACAGGCTTGTGCCATATGGAAAATAGAAATCACTGCTTTCATAATACACCAACAAAGCCTCAGCATCAGCGATACAGATAAGGTCAGATGTAGCTGTTACTGAAGTTCATCCCACTTAGCATGCTGAGATAAGGCTTCTCACAGCCACTGATCCGTGACTCTGAAAGGCAGGAATATTAGCAAGTGGCATCTGAAGAAGTTTGTATGGTTATGAGAGCTCTGAAAAGGGAATTCAGTGTGCCTGTTACCTATAGTGTCAGTGAGCACCCCAACTGCACTGGTAAAGGCCTAATTCTGACTGATTTATGTCACTGTCCATCAGGTTCCTGATCCTGTTCAGTGACACTAACACACCAACCAGAGGGGGTTGATTCCCTCACCAGTGATACTTAACTGTACAATAGCATTAGGTATGAGAATTACTCTGTTCCCCAGATCCCTATTTGAGCTGTTTGTCAGCTAGAAGACCAAATAACTTACAGTCTGCAGTAAGATATTGAATAGTTCCACAAGGCTATGAATCACAGTTATTGAAGCCTGCATGTTTTGAAGGTATGCAAGAAAGCAGGCTATAATAACTGACACATATCCAAGAAAACACTTCAACTGTGCTAAAAAGAGAAAAGGGGAGAGTGACAGAGGCCAGCTCCTTCGTTATTCCCAGATGGGTATCAGCAGAATGTATACAGGCTGTTTCCAAATGAGAGGAAGTGCTATGGTTTTGCAGGTGTATTTTTGTATTTCGGTCATTTCCACCTAATTAGTTTTTCTGTCAATGCAACAGAAACTTGGCTTGTTTTTTGTCTTTGTTCTGTGGTTTTGCCTAGGGGCTGACATACATCATCACCCAATTTCTGTTGTGCTGCAGACTTTGCAGTATGGGACTACATGCTGTGATCGTTAATAAGAAACTCAAAAAATTAGGGGAGATTCAGATTTCCAGTGCAATCTGTCTTTAGATGTAGAGGTCTGGTTTCATCAATTTCTATTGAAGGTAAGTAAAATAAAATAGAATATGTAAGAAAAATAGTGTAGGTGAAAGAAATATAAGTGCTATTGTATAATATAAGAAATATAAGCCACTATTTGTACGTGTAAAAAGCAAATGATACAGGCTATTAGAATGGTCCTAGATGCCATGAAGATACAGGCTATTAAAAGTCATGTCACAGTTGCAGTGACACACCAACAGGGAGAGAAAAAATGAGCAATTAGGATACATCAGAGAGAAGGAAGCATTTCTGAAGGCTTCTAAAACATATTACCTGGACTGAGAAATGGCCAGAAATCTGGGGTTAAAGTAGTTGCTTCTAGATTAAAGGAAAATGTAATATTTTCATCTCTAGAGAAAGTGACATCTCTGGTTTAGAGCCATCACTCCCTCCTTCCTGAATCAGAGAGAAGGAACATCTGCCTGTGAAATCTCCTGTGTCTTTCATAGTATTAATATGATTTATACTTGCGTAGCTTGTGAGGTCTCGTATCATGCTTTACATGTGCATTTTTCTACAGTGACAGTTCTGTACGTTGAGTATAATACATATTGCAAGTAGAAAGCACCAGCTGTGCTAGTCTTCAACAGTGAATGGCCCAGCAGCCACTGGTTTCAGTGCAGTGCTAATCAGCAGGGTGCTACAGGGTGGTCAGGAAGCCAATACATTTTCATGCAGTTTATACACAGCAGAAACATTGCAAGCCCATAAGCTCTGAAAATGCCGAGTGGAATCCTATGTTCCTGAGAAGTATGAATTAACACATCTTGTAACTACTGCAATGGAAAACCTTACAATATAATACACCTCAATGCCTACCTTGATGAGTAACTTTCTTCTCATGTTGTTGCAGTTCTCATTTGTGGCTGCCTTGGACTGGGCTGTGCTGGTGATGACACATGGAGGATCAGGTGGGCTGTCTTCTGTCTCTGATGTGCTTGGCAGTTGTGCTCTAGGGCAGCAGTCAAATTCCTCTTGACCCCAGCTGGTGGAGATCTCAAAGGGATCGGGACATTTCTCATCGGGACTTGACCCATCATCACTGTTTCTGGCATTGCACAGTATAAGTGATCTTGAAATGGAGCGAAACTTTCTTGACTTCCTGTTGCCAGCATTGCTCTTTCGATCCATCTTCAGAGAGCTGGTGGTGCTGCTCTTTTTCCTATCGTTCTCCCATTTATGTGGCATGATCTCTTCAATAACTTTATCTGCTTCTCTGTTGCTAAATATCCTCCAGGAAAGGAAATATAAAATGTAAGTTGTAATATATCCCCACTTAATAACCTACACTACTGAAAAGCCCTAATGAATAAATCGAATCAACAGAGCCTTTCAGTCTGCTAACAGCCACGTGGTAGCTCATGACTTGCTAATTCTGTTTCTGTGCAGTGCTCTACTAAATTCGCCTTCACCTTTTCATTCTCTTCACATGCTCCCCGAGCACAATGGAGTGCTTTTAATAAATGTTTTTGATGCTTCCATTGTGCTGCTTCCCTTTGGCTTCTGCTGAATTTGCATGTTGAAATCCCAGATTGAAAAAGAAGATACTTTAAAAGCATTATTCTCTCCAGCTAACATTATCTGAAAAGAGGAAGCTCCTTTTGAAGTTTAATTCATGAAACCACTATAATTCAAAGAAGATTAATCAAATTGTCAACGTTAAGTTCTCTGCCTGGCACATCTGATTTGTAAGCGGCTTAGCAGAAGTAGATCTTAGCCACGAGAAGGTAAGGAATGTCAGGAGCTGTAAAGCTCCTACCTTTGCAGACCAGAACTCACTTAAGACTCACATTTACCAGTAATATAGAGATCCAGTGAAGCACTTTAGATGTGAATATCTGATTAGGAATTGAACTCTGTGAGGTTATATAGTTCCAATACATCAAACAAAAAGGGTTCCATTACAGGAATGGTTTGTTTCAGTGTGTGTTGCAGCAGAGCAGATTAAGAGAAAGTGGAAGAAATGCTATACAGTCAAGGTTTGGCAGAGGTTGGAGCTTTTGTAGAATGAAAAAAGTAATGAGCATGTTAAGATAATGAAGGGGATCTTTGTTAAAAGGACTTCCTTTTTCTCTCAAAAGGTTTGCAGAAATATTTTGTTGGGTATATGTCAGCAGTAGAAGAAAATTTCAACAAAAGCAAGTCTAAACCAATCACTTTGACTTACTCACTTGATTTTGATTCCTGTTTGTTACAAGAGCTTTTCTATCCACAATATCCGATTGATAGATGTTGAAACTAAAGGATGTGTGTAAATGAAAGAACGCTGTAAGTTTTATACTGAAAATTGAAAATGGTTGTAATTTAAAAAGGCATTCTCAAGTATACCACTGAGAAAAGTTTGCACAATGCTTTACAAAGCAGTTAGCTGCTTGGTTTTGGTTCTGTGTAGAATTAAGTAGGAGCATCTGCACTTCGTATCCAAAATGTCACTGGTGATACAGAAACAGAAGGCAGACTTTCTAAAGGCTCTGTACAGCCATGACAAGAAACATAGGCCTGCAAGTTCTGACCAAGCCAGACCTATGTAATAAATCATAAGGATTATATTTTTCACTTTTTATGTTCTCATAGAAATAACAACAAAGAAAAATATATACATAGATGATAAACACTATGCAGCTGAGTACCCATCTCAAGGAGCTATATGGCATTGCTGGAGAAATATACAATTCAGTGTGAATCAGAGTTTGTTTGGATTTATAAAGGTAAAAAATTGTGTGTAGGTTTTTCAGGAGAAGGGAGGCCCTTTTTTCCACCAAGGCCTACAGTTCTTTCTGGTGTATTTGATAGATGATCTCCCATAGCTTCGAAGTATAAGTTACTTCTGTTACAAAAGTCCTAATATTGCTCTATTCCTCGATGTCTCATCCCAAGCAAAATCCCTAAGGTTTCAAAAACTCGTGCTAACACTTCAGAAACTTCTCAGGATTCCCAGCAAGACATTGTCCCATGGCAAAATTTAAGTTTGAACATTCTAGGGAACATGTCAATTTGAAGCAAATCATTGTGTTTTCTGCCTTGCTTCTGTATGTCTTTGGGAACCTCACTGCTGATCTGGAAAGTCCGATCCCACAGGGTAGGAACATTGCAGCTGAAGTCACTCAGCTCCCAGCCTTCCCCACTTTGGCACAGAATATTTTATTCAGTGCACAGAATCCTCTACTGGTTTTTAGAGAATACCTTCTCTTCTTATGAATAACATAATTTGCAACCCTGGCCAATTGCAGCCACAAGTGTGGATGGAGGACTGCCCAATGCTCCCTTTGTGGGCTGTAGGCTCAGATGTCCTATTCAGCATGAGCTCTGTGAGGACAGAGGGGATGGGGAAGAGGTTGACAAAGAGCTCAGCTTTAATGCATGGTCTTTTTGGTTGACTTGCGATATTATTTCTCTAGGATTAATCTCCCTTTCTGCAGTACTGAGAGAAGTTTGTTTTTAGGGCCTCTATGGTGAAATTTAGTTTGAAATGCAGAGATGAAAGTGCAATGAATTACATTAGAACAATAATTTTGAGAACTGAAGTAAGAAGTTGTTGACATAATTCAGTATCACAAGCTTGCAATTTTTATATGTTTTTTCATTGATTACATTAGTTACAAGCTGGCTGACATTTATTGCTACTAATACATGAAGACCTTCAAGACTTGCAGATTTTTATTGATTGTGTTTTTAGCATTTTGGCTAGCTCAAAACTTCATATACCGTAACTTGTATGTATTTTCAATATGTGAGTTACAAAACCTGCTTATGTTGTAAAGTTGGTGTTGCATTTCTTGCATGTCTGAAGGCATCTTAGAAGAAGAGGAAAATGAAATCTGGTTCAAATCATTGAACCAGAGTGTGGACTTCAAAAAACAATAGGATTATCAGGATGAGGGGAGCTTCACACCTTGCTGTCATATTGGGGTAACTTCTGCAAGTAACTCTCCTCAGCATCTAGGTAGAAAGCAACAGAGCTAACTGGCCATGGAACATGCAGCACTTGAAAGTCTGCAAAAGTGACTGTTGATCCTTCTGTGGTTCTTGCAATCACTATTAGATATGAGCAAGTGTCAGAAATGAGCCCGAGTTGTGCATTCAAACCTAAACAATCTTGCCTTTGGGGAAAAATTAGAAGAAATAGCATTTTTCATTCAAGGATTTCTGTGTTGTACAAACATTAACTGCACTCTTGCTTCCCTGAAGAGAGAGAATTTTTAAAGAGCCATTAAGCAATGGGTAGCAGAGGACTTAATAGCTTAATGGTCAAAATACTGCTCTCTGGAGACTGGTATGCTAGAATGAAGGATGGGGAGAGATGTGGGAGCCCTTCCTCACTCTGCCTGAGGCTGCTGAGCTTAAGAGCATCAGTACCAAGCACTGCCATCAGTAGTAAGTGCTTCAGAAGGTGTATCTGACTATTTCTAAGCACCTGGGATGCAGGGCACATAGAAGCACCTGTTGAAACAGGGAAGGAAACATTGCTCTAAGTGCACTCTTTCTTCCCACCCCCCAACAATGCTCCTGCAAAATATTACCCTTGGCAGAGAGAACATCTTTTTTTGCCATGTTGCATCAGTCATTTCCCCTACCCTCTCCCTCACCTCCATCAGAACTCTGTTAGCTCAAAGACCAAATTTAACCCTGACTTACCAGGTATCCCAAGGAAAGCCAGCAGCTGCAGTGAAAATAAACCCAACAGACCTGGAGATTTCCAGTTAAATACTTGCTTTTGCTCCTAACTAAAACAGCATCCTTTCCAGGACTGCTGGTCCATAAGTGACAGAAATACAGGAGGCACCAAAAACATATTCTATACATTTTTCAATAAAAATATCCAAAAATATTATTTTACACAGAAAACAATATCATAAGTGCTAGAGAAGCTTTATGATTCATTGCCATATTCCACCAAATTTAATTCAAAGTATCATGAGCACAGACAATTACTTCGAAGTCAGTTCTCCAAACCATTCATCTCTTCCTCCTGTGCACTCACTGCTTGTCATTTTCTCTTGCCATTCTTATACCTTCAGCATGCCTGATGGAAGTTGTCTGTGGTTTGTAATGCAAACCAAATGTTCTTTCTCTCTTTTTTTTTTTTTTTTAACCCAAGCTTTATTTTTCCAGCTTTAAGTCTAAAAAGCCTTAACTCAGTCTGTCTTCTGCAAACAAAGTAAATTATTTGAGCAGTGCCCATTTGGTTCAAATTTTTGGTTGGATATTATACCAAGCATTTACAAGATGTAAATAATTTGATGTAGCTCCCAGACTGAATGGGAATGCATTGCTGTTAACCATGCAGTAGGAAAGTTAGAACTTTTCTTTACTAGCAAGACAAGTTTTACATTACCAAGTGCTAACAGCGTGATATCTTCCATCCCATTTTAATCTAGATCTTGTGATCTCCATCAGATTCATTACTGAGCAGTACTATTAGAACTGAATTGTTGCAGAAGCCAAGGATTTCCAGGCAGTAGGAAGAGGTAGAAATTTGGAAACACTCTAATAAAAGACTAAGAAACTCTTGAGAGTTGAATTTACAGTTTAAAAAAACCTCTAATTCTTAAATAAAAATGCAAAAGGAGGAACTTACAACAGCGAGGCAGACAAACCTGACTCCTGCAGAAGGCTGTTCCTCTTCATAGGCCTGGCAAAAAAAGACAGAGTGAATAATTGAAAACACACTCTGATGGTGTCACGTGGTTTGGTTTCAGTAATTCTGCTCAGTACATTGGAACGGAGCTATTGTTTCCTAATTGAAGAAAATGTCAGCAAGGATAGATAAACAAAAGCAATGGGATGCAGTATTGGGGAAACTTTCCAGCGAGCTCCCAGCTACCCATAGGCGACAAGACTATTTAAGGAGTTTGTGTAATTTGTTTTTACCCATCGCTTTCTGGTCTTAGGATTGATGGGGTCCCAGCATGCTGAACCTACTGGGGAGTGGGGGGGAATTTGTGTTAATCAAGTGCAGGATTTCCTGCTGGATGCTGAGAAGGCAAGCGTGTTTCTTGTAATTTTTAGTAGATATTTTAAACATGATGCCAGTAAGAATTTCATAAGCAGTTTCTGTTCCAGGAGCAACTTCTGAATGCCAATCCTTTGTTTCTCACCGTGAAGTGGCACGGTCTCTTTAACCAGCCAGCTCTTAGATGTTCTCCCCTTGATGTGCTAAACTGCAATTTTGTAATCCAATCTTATCAAGGA